TAGAGAGTTGACCACGATATCAATAGAATAAGAAAACTTTAAAACTTGGGTTAGCAAAAGAGAAGGAAGATGCAAATTGGAAATGGGCAACTTACCTAGAAGACCAATTTTAGCGTTTAGATATTTTGATGTTTAAAGAATATAAACGAATTTGATAATCTAAACTTCAATAGGATCAAAGTATAATCAATATACAATCGAATTATAAAGTGAAGAAAAAGATAAGTTGTTCCAATAATAAAGAAAACGACGTATAGTAACAAGATATTCGACCACAAAATTTCTAATCTAACCTGTCAAGGTAGTGCCATAAGACACCTAATTTCTGCTATCGTCGGATAATACGGTTGGGTGATTCATAATCATAACCCTAAACTCGGTCTGCCCTACAAATTAGGGACAGCCATCGTGCTTTGCTGCCTTGTGCTGGAATTCCCTGCAGCTTTCTGACGGATCCTGCAAGGAATCAAGAACTGGGCCAGCTGGCCCAAGTTTGCGGTGTCCATGCATGTTGTCTGGCCTGTATCAGAATTCAGAACACACAACATAGGTAGCCTAAATTGAGGAATTTCATTGCGTGTTTCCATTTGGGAAGTTATCTTTGGCTGTTAGCAAAGATAACAAAGTCAAGTAGGAACCTAACAAAAGACACGTTAAGCATTGTTCTAATGGTTCAACAAGTCGTTTAATAATTAGGGATTGACGTACAAGAAGGTCAATTTGACCCTCCAACTTTCATAATTAGGCTATTACGGTACATGAATGTTATTTATGGTCATGTCGGTATATGAACCTTTATATTTAGTCAGTCTGATACAGGAACTTCTGATTTGTAAGTAATTCTAACTAGAGTTGATGACATTGCATTGACTAGAGTCACGTCCGGTGGAAGATTTGGTTCAACAAGTCGTTTAATTTGGAATCCAACAACTAATTATGAATTTGGCATGTCCACAAATTTGAAGAGATTCTACGGTTTATTTAGAAATTAAAATAAAAAAGATTTATCCTCAAACAAACCATACACGAGAAAAAAAAAGGTGAATATAACTTAGGTTAGGTCAATACTAGACCCTCGGGAGTGTGGGTCGAGGGGCATATGTTAAGGGTAATGACTCGATCGAGAGACTTATCCTTGATGTTGTAGAGAAAAGTCTATTGAGTATCTAACTAATTAAGATGAGGTGCAGAGTCATCATGACTCGACATCGGTCTAGCAAAGTTCAACACCTTAAAGAAGAAGAATGCCTATTAGGTATCTAACTGATTAAGATGAGGTGCAGAGTTATCATGGTTCGACATCAGTCAAGCAAAGCTTCGACACAGTGAAAAAAGTAAAGGTAGAAAATAAAAAAAGGTCCGGCAAGCCTAACAATCAAGAATCAAAGTCGTAGAAGTCTAGTCTGAGCCCCGAGGGATCTCGACGCTACACCTCATCATGATAATATGTCATCCATTGAATTCGAATGATCTTCAATTAGTTAATGTATATGTTTCAGCTAGCAATTTAGACTATCTATTATTTCACTACGTGTTGTTATTTTGATTCATGTGTGAGGATATACATTACAAAGTATAGAATGAGGATTTTGATTCAATGATCACCATATGATTAAACCAATGATGATAAATAATGACCGGTGTTTACCTTAATTAACTTCCAAAAACAAAGTTGCTCCTTGTAGCCCATGCATGCTCTCTTCACCCCCGGCGGCTGCATGACTTCCATTTTCCGGCCGGCCGACATGCATGAATACGATTGATCTCAGCACCGATGCTTTGCTTCAAGTGGAAGGAAAGGGACCGAAAAAGAGAGACAGAGACGGCCGCCGCATCTCTAAGTCTTTCATTTCATGGGCCCGAATCTGCTGGAGATTTTAAGGTAATATAGCTGTTTGTTTGTCACATGCCCTGCTTTTGTTTCCTTTTTCTCGCGCTTTGCCGAACCATATGATTCGAGAGGCACATATTCCTCCACTGCACTGCACATATTTCAGTCTGTCGTCTGGTCCATTTCGTTTGCAGATGCTATGCTCGAGACTTTTGTCTATCCCAGATTACGTAAGACGCAAAGATGGGATTTCAAGTACGAGATTGGGAATACGAATACACGATAAAAATCGTGTATTCGACAGTTGATATCGTGCGAGGATGAGCGGTTCAACATATCCTATCATTATATACTAATCCAACCCCGTATGCAATACCACCCTCTAGATCAGGTGGAAATTTCGTATCCAATCCACCAATCTAATCCAGTCCATCCAGTAAAATATCCAATTAAATGCAATCAAATTAGATCTAATACATTTAATCTAAAACCAATCAGATTGGCGGATTCATGGATAGTTGGTAAGTTATAGTTTAGCTCCTATCCTTTTTTATATTTTACATTTTCATGCTTAAATTTAATTTGTTAAAAGTAAAATAATTTTGGAAAAGTTCATTTTGGTACCTAAATTTTTTATCGTGACATTTTTAAAATTTGCATATTGATCCAATTATATATGACACGTAGATTTGATTCAATTCTTGTTTTGGTTGATAGACCACCCTTGATTTTGATTGATCAGCTTCGGCTGGACGATGTAACAACAGTTTCTGATTAATAATATACTTACAGACTTCCATAAAAAATAAAAATAAATTTGATTCAATTCACCAATCCATATGATCAAATACATGAATCTACTAATTGATTTGATCCAATCTGTTTGATACATAAATTCACCCCTCTATAAATTCAATCCATTTAACAAGGTTAACCTAATGCCGTCGGCATTTGTGGGTCTGCCGGAGGACAATAGAATTATGTAAGTTATTACCTCAGCACGACGTCGTTGTGTGTTGCACCAACCCCTGAAACTTGGACACCCAACCTAACCCTCTTTGCCGATTTGCCATTAATCAACCACTAACACTAAATATGAACCCCTTCTTTTCTTCCTTTCTGCACCACGCCAGGAGAAATGCGATGATGATGTCCGGTGACTCCGGCCACCACGCGCACGACGGCAACAAATTAATTAAGTACTTGCAATTGCCAAAATTTGGGTCCATTTCTATATATGAATATGATATCATTGCACTCCCTTTCACTCAGTCCACACATTCAAGGACCATTTGGTAGAGATTGACAATCATTTTGTTTTAATGCTCAATTGAATTGGTTGCACATCTCAATCTAGAAGGTTTTGAGGATAAAATGAAAAACAAAAAATCAGATGGTTTATCTTCTCGGGTTTACAAAGTTAAATACAATAGGATCAATAGTTTATACGAATAGATAGACCACTTCTATATTCTTGTCCGATTGATTACAATCCTGACTGTTGAATGAGATTATACTATGGGGTATTTAATGTATAAAGAGAAAGGAGTAACATTTAATCATCTTTGTGTTTGGTTTAGTGGAAGACAACATTATACAAATAATTAGGAGCTGCGGGTGATGTGGATTGGATAATTTAATGCTTGACTGATGAAAACCGATTCTCTACCAAGGAAGAAATTGAGGGATTGGAAAACCCTACACAGAGTGTTCATATTTCTCAAAGTGAAATTATTGTGCTATTGGATATGGAAGACAGCAAAACATGATGATGCCACAACTACATGGAAGTTGCCATTTTCGTTTGCTTTTTTCTTTTCAAAGCAACAAACACCCCATTTCTCATTAGAGAAATTCATAAGTAAAATACATTTACTACAAACTAATAATATAGAAATAAAATAATTTTTTCGTAGCGTGCAAATTTAGGAAACTGGTTGTCTACAATATCATTATGATAAGAGTCTGAATCAGAACTCTCCTAAATTTCATTTCTCAAATGAATCATCAAACTCATAAACATATAGTTGTTATCAATTCATCTTCTCGTGTAGCGATAACACCTCCCCCGAATCAGTTTCAACCTCTTATAAATAGGCCAATGACTTCACTTGCAACTTCAAATCAAACTCCTATCAATGTTTGTTACAAAAAAAAAAAAGCATCCTAATCTTATAGAAAAGCAAAATTGAAGGAGCAAGGAATAGAATGTGACTTTTAAAGGAGGGGGGGAAAAGGCCCCAATTCCCAACCAAGCAAACGCAACTACACAAGCAAGCAAGAAGGAAGGTTTGAGGGCGTTGGGTACGTATTTGGCCTTTTCCTTCCAAACGGCTCTCATCCAACCACAACAACAAACAAACCCTCCAATAAGCCCAAAGGCCAAACGTGTGCCATACGTTTGCATGACATCCCAACTTGGCACCAATTACTTTTTCTCCCACTTACAAGAAAGTTGGAAGACTTGGCTTCCCACCCCAAATTGCATCAACAAAAGTTATAAAAGCAAAAGCAAAATCTTAAACAACCTTTAACATTTCTCTTTATAAAAACCACCTTTACTTTTTTTTCCGTTTCACATAAAAGAATGATAATTTCTATACGACCCATTTTACTTGATCTATTTGACTTGTTTGGGCAGGTAACCCTCGTATTGTATGCTGGGTTGAGCATGGCATGCATAGGTAATCGCCCATTTCTCAACCATTATCTACATTTATCGTGTTGTAATTTGATGAAAAATTCTATGTTTCAAATGTTCTCTTTTTAAATTACATATTTCATATAAGTCGACCTGCTCCGATTTATGCTTTATGATACATTTATCGACCTTGAACTCGACTGTTCAGGACGATTATGAATATGAATATTGTAATGTCTATGATCACTATATCACACCAACCATCATTTCTCACCGCTTGAACCACCCTTTTTTTTTAAGATACATCAAACAAGCATCGCAATTCATCATCGCAACCGCACACATTTTCCTTTTTGCCTCTCCTTTGTTATCCTCTGCTTTTTCCACGTCGTCGTCATCATCATCGTTGTCACCAACATAAGATTGTTACGTTAACAGCAATCTAGCAACCACACAAACACCACCGCCACCTCCCCCACTTGTTCCCCTTCTTCTATATTCCCCACCAAACATAATTAATGAACCAAAATTGATCAACAAAGATAACAACACGCGGTAGCTTTACACAATTAAATCGAATTAATAACAATAACAACAATCGATAAATGTTGCTGAATAACCAACAAAATAATTACATAATAAGTATGTGTATTAGTTGTAACAATGGCGAATCAAATCGATCAATCAAACCCAAAAGCAGAGGAGGTGGTGGTGGTGGTGATGATGGTGGAGGTTGTTGGTTTCCCGGTCGATCAAGCCCTGGATGCTCCGGAACTCCTCCACGTGGCAGGGTATGGTGATCGGCCCCTTCTGGTAGTGGAAATCGAACTCCTCCTCCGCCGATTTCAGCAGCCTCATGAACAGTGGGTGGTTGATGTAGATCACCGGGACCACGAACCTCTGCTGCTCCTCCCCTTCCTCTCCGACGATGATCGCCACCATCCCCTTCTTCGGCCCGCCGCCGTGGTGGTGGAACAGATCCAGGTGCGGGAAGTGGATGTGGAAGTGGTGGTGGTGGTGCTTCCCCCCTCCTCCACCTCCGCCGCCGCCGCCGCCGTTGTTGTCGGCAGCTGCGGCTGGCATCGCGTCAATAATAGTCTCCTCCGACGCTACGCTACTGCTCCCCATAACAAACAAACAAAACAAAAAATTGGAACCGGATTGGCAGAAAACGGAATCTGGAAGCGGAGGCAGGGGATTATAAGAAGGCGGAGAAAGGCCAGGGATCGGAGGAAGAGATGGCGAGGTTGAAGAGCGTGAGTGCTGAGTCTGTGAGGGATGTTGGAATGTTGCTCATTCTAATCTAATTGCTCCTTTCGCATATAGTGATTCTAGCTGCTGCAGGGGAATGGTTGGGATGGTTGCAGAGAAAACTTGTTTTGGCTGGAGGATGAAGATGAAGGAATGGAAGGAGGGGGGAAAAGTGGGAGATTGGCGGGGGTGCGTATTTATAGAAAAGGGGATTAGGGTTTGCTGGGGAAAGGGAATTAGAATTAGGGAGAGCGTATTGGGGAAGGTAAAGAGGGTTATTGGATTGCTTAGCTTGTACACGAAAAAAGGGGGTGAGAGGTTTGCTTGCTGAGCTGGCACACGGAACCAGTCGTGAATTTGGCGTGAGTCAGAAAATTGATAAATTAAAATCCAAAAAAAAAATGTAGATTAATCTAGAAAATGGGAAAAAGAAAAGAAAAGGGAGTAGAAGAAAGACACGGTTATTCCCGGGGAAGGGCGGTTGGGGGGAAAAAGCGGTGATTTGGAAGCAACACGGCTTAGTAGTTGACGTCCAAGTATTTTGGGGGAACTCTCCAGGCGCTACAGAAAGGACACCGGACACGGGCCTCTTGGGCCTTTGGGTTTTTTGATCGGGCTTCCTCTTCAAACGAAAAAAATGGGGGTTGGGAATTGGGCTGTGCACACGGGCTCGTGATTTGGTTTCCATTCCACTGGGCCTAACTGGGCTTCCACACAATGTCTTGAGGCCTCTTCTTTCCTGCTCTGACAAGCCAGCAGAAGGCGCCACTTCTAGTAAACCTAATATAATATCTTAGATTTTGCATACACTCGTAACAAATATATTTCAAGAATTGTTGCAGAACTCCAGTGACATCAAGCATTTCAGAAACTCAGTTGAAAAATATGTTCCCATGGGCCATGGCCCATGCATGATGTCACACTCCATCGGCATCAAGCATTCCATAAATACTGATAACATATAAGTTGCATAACTCGTTGTTCAATCATCGTAGGCAGATAATTTTTCAAGAACAACAAACCATTTCTCACATTATTCCAGGAACAAGAACAAAACCAGAAAACAGAACCCTTCAGAAAGTACAATACAGTAAAACGCATTCTTCTACTATTACTACAGTCGTCACAAAAGCAAGCCAGTAACTCCTTACCTGACACAGACACAAATGTGGGAATGAGACTTCCCCAGCAGCAAACAACGATGAGGTCAGTCAATACCCATCACATCGTAATCGCATGGTGTTGGCCAGAAGCAACAGCAGCAGCAACAGCAACAGAAGATCTTTCCACCATCTTCCTCCGCTCGTAATCTGGATCGTCCGTTGGCAATTCATGCCTACAGACTGGGCAAGTGTTCCTAATATTAAGCCAAGGCACGATGCACTCCTCGTGATACCGGTGCGTGCAAGGCAGCAGCTTTGCTTTCTCCCCAGCACTCATGTCATCCTTACAGACAGCACAGGTCGAGTTATCACTCCCCGCGTCTTCCTTGGTCACCACGACAGAGGGAAGCCTCTCGACCACTAATCTGGAAGCAGGAGGCTGACCTGTTGTGAGCACCGTGTCCATCTCAGCAAACTGCCCAAACACCGTCTCGTAGTCTGCTGTGTAGATATAGTCGTCGTCATGACCACCGCCGCCACCAAAGTATCGAGCTGCTTGATCTGGGTCTGGAAGCGGTCCCAGATTAGTGGCATCCAGCAAGACCTCCCACTCGAGATTTCCCGAACCGACCACCCTGTCCACACTAACCATATCCTCTGGGGAAATGATCGGAGAGATCGAGAGCGATGCAGAGGCCTCATCGTCGTCATCATCCTCATCGAGAAACATGCTCAACACCTCTCTTTCATCCACGCGGCCATCAACTTCCTCCCACTCGAAATCTTCATTCTGATGATCTCTGTGATCCTCCAAGGAAAGCGAGTTCCAACAAAGGGGAATCGTAATACTTTCATCATCATCAACACCAACATCATTTTCTCCATCGCCATAATCATAGTGCCCACTTCCCACATGTATATCGTCATCCAATCCATATTCATCACGAGAACCGAAATCTATAGCTAGCAGAGAGTTGTCATTCTCCTCCGACTCCGAATCTGACTGGAACCCAACGATCCGTGATTCAAGCCCAGACACCCTCCTCTCAATGAAGAACACGTCGTCATCGATAATATCATCAAGAACAGTATTGCAATGATAATCAATGTTGCTGGAATCATCACCAGCGTACACATCATGGAACCCGCAATTGTCGTGTGTGCCTAAACCAAACCCTATCCCCAAATCGAGTTCTAAACTCCTGATGGCATTACGATTGTCTTCTTCGTCGATAACACCAAAGGCAGATTCATTCAGTGCCTCGGAAACCAAATGTGAATTGAGGCCCATTACCTGAGACTGCTCCACTCGCTGATGAATCAAATCCATGACGAAACGCACCTGATTCTCGCAGTCGAAGATGTCCGGGCCGTTCAGAATAACGGAATCGGCATCGGAAAGAGCATCGTCATTGTTCGAATTTCTGTCAAAAAAGAAACACAGGCCACACGGTAATATCAGAGCCAAACAAGGAGGAACAAGAAAGGATAAGAAAACAAAATCTACCCGCCCCCCCCCCCAGCTTTTCTGCACCGACCGAGTTATACCTTTCCTGCCCGAGTTGACTCAGCGAGTCGAACACCGAGTTCTCGAGCCTCGGCCTGAGAAGCGCCTTGTAACTACTCATCGCCTCGATTGCCGGTGCTTCTCCGGCCTCCTACCCAATCGCGTGCCAACGTACGGTTTCCCCAAATGCGCGATTTAGCGGGATACCGGACCGCGACTCTCCGCCTCTCCCTCTGCGCCGACTATGAATGAATTCAACAAAAAGCAACAGCGGTCGCCGGCGAAGTATTCTCTGAGATCGACGACCAGGCTAGGCTTTTCTCTCTCTCTCTCTCCTCCACCACCTCTGAATATCGGATCTTACTCGCTCACTCGGGCATCGAACACCGTCCGCCCGTGTCCCCAAGAGATTCTCTCGTCTGGTTTGCTCGGGTTAACATTTTCCTCCAGATTTTCTAATTTTTATTTTCTAAGATAAAACCAGAATTCTATTTTTAAATTATTATTATTTCGAAAGAGTTTCCTTTTTTTCCAACACCACTCTGGGCCTTTTTGGACAGTATTGTACGCCACTTGTATTATTATACCGTAGCTTTTGGGCTCCTTCGAACTTGAGTTGGCCCAGCAAAACGATCCAATCTCAAACTCGGCCCAAACTTGATTGGATCCATGTACAAAATTAAAGGAAAAAGAAAAAAAGAAGAAGCGTGTGGGAGGCGGGAGTCTTACTGATGTGGCAAGCCGTTAGCCCGGGGAGAGCAACGGGCGGGAAGTACAAACTGATACGGATGCCCGCCACGTGTACGCTGACGTGTACATAACAGAAAATTGACTATCAACTGCCATGCGCCATCACTGAGTCCGACTTGCCCTGCCCACAATCCCACCAAAGATTCAATCTTTATCGTCACCAGATTTCTCCCAACATAAACGAAATCCCATTCCACTGCGGAAATTCGAAATCGATTGAAGTAGTGATCAGTAGGATAGCATTTCAGTGTGGGAATTTCTTCAATCAAGAAACGCCAAATACCAATCCTCTGTTTCAGTGGGGGTTCAGGGTTTGTTAGTACCTTTGCAATGGGCGATGATGAGGGGGAAAGGAAGGAGATAGAGATGGCTGCAGAGAGGCCTGAAACAACAGCAGGAAGAGGAGCCCAGAATTGGGAGGAGGAGGAGGAGGAGGAGGAAGAGAATTCAGAAGAAGCAGGGGAGCAGGAATTCAAAAGGATTCCTCCGTGGACGAAGCAATTCACGGTGAGAGGGATCGTGGCGAGCGTGGCGATCGGGTTTATATACGTGGTGATCGTGATGAAGTTGATTCTAACAACTGGGATAGTCCCAACGTTAAACGTCTCAGCGGCGCTGTTAGCCTTCGTGTTCGTCACCACTTGGACCAAGCTTCTCAAGAAGGCCGGATTCGTCACCACTCCCTTCACCAGGCAGGAGAATACCTTGATTCAGACTTGCGCTGTGGCTTGTTACAGCATGGATTTTGGAGGTGGGGATTGAGATTGACATATTTTCTTATAGAACATGAAATCAAATTTAGTTTTCATATACAGCATCAGCAAGTTACTGCTGCAGATCAGCAGATGGTTTTGTAACAAATGGCAATACAATTATGCAGGTGGTTTTGGGTCGTATCTTCTGGGTTTGAACAGGAAGACGTACGAGCTATCTGGGGTTGATTCAGCTGGGAACAATCCGCGGAGCGTAAAGGAACCCGGAATCGGATGGATGATTGGTTTCCTCTTTGTGAGCAGCTTTGCTGGGCTACTTGCCCTGGTTCCTCTCAGGAAGGTAGAGTGGACCCTTTTTTCCTTGTTAAACGAACAAGTCTCGATGAGCTAGCTGTGTATTGAATGGAATGAGCATCTGATATGATAAATTGGGATGGTTTTGATTGGTTTCAGATTATGATAATAGACTATAAATTGAGCTATCCAAGTGGAACAGCTACTGGTGTACTTATCAATGGATTCCACACCCGAAAGGGACACAAGATGGCCAGGCAAGTAAATCCTTGTTCTGGCTTTTTGTTTGGTTTCCTTACCAACTGATCATACAACAGAAGATTTGTGATTGTAGTTTCAAATTACTGAATTCGGGGTTTCGGGGTTTTGTAATGCAGAAAACAAGTCCAAGCCTTCACCAAGTACTTCTCCATAAGCTTCATATGGGCTTTCTTCCAGTGGTTCTTCTCCGGTGGACCAAAAGATCAAGGAAAGTATTGCGGTTTTGTGCAGTTCCCAACATTTGGATTGGCTGCTTGGAAGAACTCGTAAGTGCTAAAGCTAGCTCTGGTGAACTCACATTGTGCATACATGAATCGAATTTGAACATCTGTTTCACTAGTCATGGTGGTGTTCAGTACCAATTGCTCTGTATTGATCAAGACATTGAACTTCTCGTGCAGATTCTACTTCGATTTCAGCCTGACTTATGTCGGAGCTGGAATGATATGCTCTCATCTCGTCAATTTCTCGTTGCTCTTTGGCGCAGTGCTCTCTTATGGGGTAATGTGGCCGTTGATCGATGGACTTAAAGGAAACTGGTTTCCTTCAACACTACCAGAAAGCAGTATGAAGAGCCTCAATGGTTACAAGGTTTGCTATCCTTACATATTATTTGCTGGCTGCCATTTCCCTGCTGTCATTCATAAACTCTTGATGATGATGATGATTATGACCGTTTTTGGTTCAGGTTTTCATTTCATTCGCTTTAATCCTCGGGGATGGCCTCTACAATCTCCTCAAGATACTCTGCTGTACAATTGCTAACCTTCATGCTGGTGCAAGGGCGAGAAGAAATCTGAAAATTGGTAAGTAAATAAAGCTGATGCTCTTATCCCTCAAATCATGTTTCCAAACCAGGACACATCACTGAAGTTCAGGAACTTACCTTCTTGTTAAAAATCTTAGTCCATGTATCTGCAGATTCCAACGACCAGAATCAGGCTCCAACTGAAAGCCTTCGAAGAAATGAAGTGTTCATGAGGGAAACTATCCCAATTTGGATAGCCTGTGTGGACTACATCGCCTTCTCCGTTATTTCAATCATCATCATCCCCATCATGTTCCCTCAATTGAAATGGTACTACGTGGTAATTTCCTACATTATCGCCCCGGCTCTCAGCTTCTGCAACGCATATGGCGCTGGGCTAACCGACATGAACATGGCCTACAACTATGGCAAAGTGGCGCTTTTCGTCCTAGCAGCCTTATCAGGGGAAGAAAATGGCGTCGTTGCAGGGCTTGTAGGATGTGGACTGATCAAGTCGATCGTGTCAATCTCTTCTGATCTAATGCACGATTTGAAGACCGGCCATCTCACTCTGACTTCCCCACGATCCATGCTTCTCAGCCAAGCTATTGGTACCGCCATAGGTTGCGTGGTAGCTCCACTCACGTTCTTCCTCTTCTACAAGGCGTTCGATGTCGGGAACCCCAAAAGCGAGTACAAGGCTCCCTACGCTCTCATCTACAGAAACATGGCGATCCTTGGAGTGGAAGGCTTCTCCGCCCTCCCTCGGCACTGCCTACAGCTCTGCTACGGATTCTTCGCATTTGCTATAGCAGCCAACTTGTCGAGAGACTTGCTGCCAAAGAAAATAGGGAGGTGGATTCCTCTCCCCATGGCAATGGCCGTGCCTTTCCTCGTAGGAGCGTACTTCGCGATCGACATGTGCGTGGGGAGCTTGGTTGTTCTGGTTTGGCACAAGTTGAACAACAAAAAGGCTGGCCTGATGGTTCCTGCTGCCGCTTCTGGGTTGATTTGTGGAGATGGGTTGTGGATTCTGCCCTCGTCGATCCTTGCTCTGGCGAAAGTGAAACCCCCCATTTGCATGAGCTTCTTCAAAAGCTCGTAGACTGTAGAGATTTTAGTATGCAAAGATAGTATAGTACTTTTTGCAGCTTCTTTTAACAAGTGAAGAACAGAGAGTCAGGAGAATTCTAATTCAAGTAGCTTCATTGTTTGGTAATGCCTGTACAATGTTTTTATTCTTTTCCATTCGTTAATTGCAGTTATGAAAAGAGACGATCAAGACAGCATCTAAGCTGGTAATCTCAAACAGAGTAACAATGGCGGGAAACCAAAAAAAGTCTCTTAAATTATCAACAGAGTAACAATGGCGGCAAACCAACAAAAACAGAAGAAAAAAACGCAGGTAATCAAGAAAGGAGAAATCAATGAACACTAAGAATATGCAAAAATGGCTGCCTTCTAATTCAGACTGTAACAAGGGTGAGAATTTGATAGACAAATTTTCTTTTCTTGTTAAATGATCAAAATTCAACACACAGAAAAAAAAGCTTTCCCTGTGTATTGTAAACTCATTCACAATTCACACATAACCAGCAGCAGTTTCCCCACTCTCCCTCTCTACATATATATGATTTGATGCTTACACCTGTACACTATGACTACTCCGATCCGCCGTCGTTTCCTCCGTCGCCGGCCCGACCACCACCATGGCTTTCTCCTCCTCCTCCTCCGTCGCCACCGTCGGCAACACCACCACCGCGGCCTGGCTCGAACCCAGCTGAATCGCCCGACCCGACCCCAATTGAATCTCCTGATCGGCAGCCAACGAATCGGCGATCGGCCGAATCACCAGGATCCCTTCCCCAGCCGCCGCCATGACGAAGGCCGCGAGGAAGATGAAGAGCGACAGCACGGCGTACGGCTCGTCCCGCGGGGTCCACAAGACGGAGAACCCGAGGCAGACGAGCTGCAAGGGCAAGGTGATCATCACGACGAGGGTCAATCCGTAGAGCCGCAACCTCAGCCCTTTATTGATGACCAGGGTCAGCGCCTTGAAGCAGGAGATCGAGAACGCCGCGAGGTACCAGACGACGAAGGAGCCGAAGACGACGCAGCTCATCAGCGGGTAGAGGCAGAGGACGGCGTCGTTTCCGTGGGCGGCGGCGGCGATGGGGATCTTGTTGTTGGGGGAAAGGACGGTGCGGGGGAGGAGGTAGCTGCGGTTGAAGAAGGGCGGCAGGCGGAAGAGGCCGGAGGAGGCGCCGAAGATGAAGACGAGCTGGAGGAGGAGGACGGGCAAACAGGTGGCGGCGATGGAGAGGATTGCCCGGGATCCGCGCGGCGTGCTCTTCTTGACGGAGATCTTGACGAGGTAGAGCAGGGCGACGAGGAAGCCGGGCTGGAAGAGGCCGAGGGAGAGGGTGACGTGGAGGCGGCAGAGGCAGATCTGCTGCGGGATCGTTAGGGATTTGGGTAAAAAGGGGGCGAGGTAGCGGCGGCGGAAGGACGGGATGACGAGGAGCTCGGTGAAAGCCCAGAGGGCGACGAAGAGGACGAGCAGAGATCTGACGGCCCAGAGGGAATTGAAGCTCCGGAGGTGGCGGCGGGAGGGGGAGGAGGCGGCGGCGGTGGAGGATTTGAGGTAGAGGTGGAGGATTAAGAGGAGGGAGACGAGGGAGAGGAGGAGGATGGCGAAAATTGAGAAGAGGGTGACCAAATCCACGAGGAATTCGAGGAATGGCGGTGGTGGGTTGTCTACCATGGCATTTGTGAGCTCGAATCGAGAATTGATTTTTCAATCTCAAAATCTCAATTTCTCCCCCCTTTTTGTTGTGGGGGAGGAGATGCGGGTGGATGATGAGAATGACAGCTATAAGAGGTGGTGGTGGTGGTGTCGGTGGTAGTGGCAATGGAAATGGCGACGGCGCGTGGTGCTGAATATGGCTACCTCCGGTGGCCGTGATGATTGCCGAGCTGTTGACGAGGAGGGAGATGATGGAGATTGGGATTTGGGTAAATGCATGGAAATGTAAGGAGATGAGTGGGTTTCATGTCACGGTGGTGGTGGTGGCCGGAGGGGGGAGGAAGAAGAAGGGAGATGAGATATACTCTCCTTTGTTTTGTGTCGCCTCCTCTCCCCGCCCAATTCCCCGGCCGGCGACGTGTTCAGGCCGGTACGCCGTTAATTAGAAGAGGAAAACAGAGAGAGAGAAGGAACAGTATTTTCTTTTTTGTTTTTTGGGTTTTTTTTTTTTTTTTTTGAGGCAGGGAGAAAGAGAGGAATTGGTTTGTGGGAATGGCTTTGTTTTCGGGGGGGACTAAAACGGAACCCAATTTGCCTTTTTAATTTGATTAATGCAACTAATTGTTGGGAAGTGGAACTTAATGAGGGTTAAGTTATTAGTCAGTTTGACTTTGGCCTGTAATTAAGAGGGGAGGGGGTGATGATCTGTCTATCTCACCAAACATTGATTGAGTTATGAGTTGGGATTTGGTTACAGACGGTCAAATCGAGCAGAGCTGTCAGTATCTTTTCCCAAGAGTTTATTTTGGGCTTATGTTGGATTGTGGCTAATGTTGAATTGTGGGCTTCAAAATGCTCCAGGCCTGATCGCTGTTTGGCCGACAGTTTGGGTATTCGGCCCGATACTTTTGGATGTGTCATTTTTTAGGGTCGAAGTTTGGAATGGGTCATTTGGTCAAGTTACCTAGCTAGCACCTTGTAAGTTGTAATATATATTTGAGCTAGACAAAGCAATTCAAGTTGGCAGAAACATGTAGCAGTTCAAAATTAGTATATATGCTTTCACAAAAAATTTAGCATGTTCAAAAAAAGGAGCCATACAATAAGAATTATCATGAACTTACGAAACGAAAGCTGATCAAATTTGAGTTGTTCATGTGGTCGAGTTAAATACACTTTGTTTGGTTGAAATGTTCAGCTTAATAGAATCGAATGGCTCCAACCAAAATCTAGAGTTGCGACCGAACCATTCGTTTTAACAACATAATTTTGCTACTTGTGGTCACAAAAGTTGTATTTCGGGCACACCATCTCACAAGTATACTTGTTACTTTCTAGCTTAATTAAACTTGTGTATATTATCAAAATCTTTTGGTGGTTAATAATCATTGTGTATATTTTCCCCCCCTAGTCTGAACGATATTAAATTAATGTTTCATTTATACAGTAGTTCATCCGTGTGTGAAACAAAGACGATAACATCGTATTGGACATGTTGTAACCACAAAATTAGTTAGCTGTGGGATATTTCGAGTCGAAATCATGGTTCAACTAATTCATACTATACTAAAATCATCTATCAGTTGAGAGTACTCCATGTTATGGGGGACAATCCCAAGTACCACAAACAGTAATACAAGAGAAAAGTATCATTACATTAAGTGTCCATTACACAGGCACCCGAAAATAAATCCCTCATACGGACTTGACACAATGCGAACAATATCATAGTAACTTAGTAAGTAATGGAGGTACCTGATTTCTGCACTCCAATAATAAGTTATTTTTTCTTTCTTTTTCTGAGTCTAACTGTATATATCACCTTAATTAATTTTATTGTGGAGTGTCTGCTGGTTGTTGGCTGTTTACTCGAGGGATATATGCCGGCATTTTTTATATATAAATAAATGGCCGGCCATGAGAGGGAGGGAGCAAATAGTGCAAAGGCAAGCTGGCTCCCGACCCCTCCACAGCTCCACCTTCTTCCTTCTTCCTCTTCATCCTTTCTTTATAGTCTCTGTGTCTTCACTTTTCTCTGTACCGCCAAAAGGGTAACCCAAAAGAGAGAAAACGATCCATAGAGCACGGTGGAGGGAGAAAGAAAGAAAGAAAGAAGGACGAAGAAGAAGCTTTGTGTTTTGTGGGGAACGTTGTCTGGTCCAAGGCACTATGAGCTAGCTAGCTAGCTCCCAGATCTCAAAAATGGGTATCTGGTTACAGTGATCAGTGGCCCTCGGACCAGGCTTCATTCCCCTCAATCACTCTTGCTTTCCCCACTAATTCAGTTTCACCCTTCCATCGCCATTGTTATCTTTTTTCCAGGGTATACTTTTGCTCTATCTCTCTCTCTTGGATGTGATATTAGTCAAACAATGTAATTCATGAACTGCTGGCAGATCCGATGTGTGTGTTGGTGGTTTAGAAGCAAAGGGTTGATTGGTATAATGATGAACCATTTTGACTCTGCCTACAGATTTTGTGTGTAAGACACAAAGTTGTTTCTGTTTCCCTCATGCTTCTCATCATTGCTTTTTTAAGTTTTGTTCTTGTACTGTCAACCCAACAGTTCCCCCTTTTTCTTACCTTTCTTTTTGGAGTTTTATTCCCACAGCTGCTGCTTTTTTTTACCTTGCTATATAGCCTATGGGGTTAATCATTAGTATGAATCTCTTATCTCTGTGCTTATAATGAATTCACACATTCTATCATTGTGCTTCAAAAAGGAAACCCTCCAGATCAGAAGACCCTTTTCAATTACTGGTTCATGATTAAACTTTTTCCCAGGACTTAATTGGCACATGATTTAAGATGCATGATAATTTCAAGTACTGGTTCTTCTTCCATGCGATGAATTATGCATTAGGGTTTTGGCTGCACTTCTTCAGTACTCTTTCATGTCATGTCATGTCATTCATATATATGGACATAATCACATCATTCATATATATGGACATAATCACATCTGGGTTGGCAGCTTGATATTGATAACTTCACCCCCAACAGATGATTAAATAAAGAGCATTCAAATGGTGGGAGGAGTGGTTGGATTTTCGTTTCTTGCAGGCTGCAGCTATAGCATTGGTTATGGCGATGCACCACAAAAAGGAGGCCATGACAGACAGACTGCAGGGCACAGATTACATACATATAACTTGCTTAACGTCTTATGAAAATGGTGTTAGTGGGGGTGGTTGGATTCTGCAGCACAACAAACTAAACAACAACAGTCTCTCTGACATTTTCCCAAAGCTTTACCAAAATGAAAGTTAATTGTATGGTTAGACACAGATTTCTTTATTAGTTACTAGTCAGACTGTGGAGGATATCAATGTAGTTAATTGCTGATTATAGTAAATAAATAAAAAAACAAACAATGGAGAATCCATTTCTCTGACATATATGTAAGTTGGTGGCAAGTGGGAGGGAAGGAGAGTGGCAATATTCATTCCAGCAAAGGCTGGGAGAACCCATCTTCTCTTGTAGCCTTATATTGTGCTTATTATTATTCTGTGAAAAGATGGGCATCTTTTTGGTAGCTATTCACAAAGCCGCATACTGATATTCTTGAGTTAATGAGCAAAGTTCCCCCGAATCAGATTCATCGTAGATAGATAGAGAGAGAGAGAGAGAGAGTATTCTTCCACGAAAGTAGCTAGTTATACTCCTATATCCTTTACCCTTTACCTTTGTTCTCTCAGGCCTCAGCCTGCTTGATGAATAATCTCTTAAAGTTTGGCAATTTACCTTAGTGATACTGATAAACCGCAATGTGTTTTGCACCGTCTATGTGTACCAGCTCGATCGATATCGCTTGCGAATAATAATTTGTTCACGGCCAGTAGCACATATTTTGTTCAATCGTGGATCATATACCACAACACTAACATGCCCCCTCAAACGAAAGCCACTCACAAGGGCTTGGAGTTTGCACAGGTCTGAAGACAAGAATACCATGTGCTTAACAAATGGGGGTCGCCGGGAATCGAACACAAGACCTCTCGGTCACAGAAGGCTCTGATACCATGTCAAGAACCAGTTGCTCCCAATAACTCGAGTTGTTGGGAGAGGTTCAATCGTGGATCATATACCACAACACTAACAGATGTGCATCCATCAATGTTATTTAGATATACAAGCAATGCTTATATTTTTATTTTCCAACCAGTCATTAATCGAAACCGTCGTGGTGCCTATTACAAAGCACAAACAAAAATGCACTTGTAACATGTACAACTACGTGCTTAGGCCTCAGAGTGGAGTTCGGCAAAATTAATATTAGAACAGATCTATAGCCAGAATGAATAAACTCACCGGGAATGGAAAACAGGAGTTTTTTTTTTATAGATTTCCTGCGCCTGCAGGAAGTATCTATACATGTACGTAATACAGGCTCTGAGACATGACTTGATAGAGAAGGGATCGGAGCTATATACATAGAAAGGTTACGTGTGAGAATTAGCAAATAGTGTTTTTCATGGCAGTGGAAAGGTTCTTCAATGCCGTTCCCATGGCCACCCACTTCACTCTTTCTCCTCTTGGGTTCTCTCTTCTCTTGTCGCATTGATAATGCACAACTTTTTTTTCTTTTTTCCAGCAGATATACATTTTTGTTTCTCCACGATCTAATTGCGCTATATCTGCTGAATGCTGATGCAAGCAAGACCGATGGAAAGAGAGGCCCAAAGCCCGGCGGAAGGAAGAGGAGAGCAGAGCAGAGCAGAATCTGGCGGGCCCGGCCCAGGCCCACTATCAAGTAGCAGCAGGTCTCCAGGCTCCAGCTATTTCAGGGGAAGAACAATGGCCGACTTTCCGAGTTGCAGGTGTTGGGGTTCTTCACCAACAGACCAAAAATGTCTAGGACAGCTTATATCATCGTCGTCAGCCTAGAATCTAAATCTATCTCCCTAAATTTGATTCCTCGAGAAATGAGGAGCAGTAGTACTGCAGGCAGGGAAATCCTTGTTTCTGTGGAGCCTGCGGCAGCGCAGACAGAGTCTCCTCTCTCCTGTGTATTGCCTTTGTATTATTAATGGTACTCTGCTACATCAAAGTTAAGTATCTAAACCCTTAATTTGTCCTGGTTTAGTCGGCTTAATTGCAGGTCGAAGTTAGTGCATACGCTAAATAATATTGTAGTTTTTTTGTTCACGTAAATAAACTTAGATACTCAATTACACATCCATTAAGATGAAATGTCAAATTTGTGTATTGAATAAACTAATGATTACAAATATCGATTGATTTACGATTGACCAAAATTCGATTCTTAAGCCATTTCGTAATTATATTTTGAATGATTGGAAATCAGACAATATCAGCATTATACATTAGGCCCAGTAGAGACCAGTGCGGGTTGGGCTTTATCCGCAGTCTCAATCTGAGAGATAGTGAGGTGGACAGTACTGGGCTAGTCGCGCGCAGGCTGGGGCCCGGTTAGGAAAATTAGTCTTGTTGGGCTTTCAGAGCGAGCCCAGGCACACATTTATGGTACACTCTCGAGTCTCGAGTCTCGAATTTTATGATAATTATTTTGATCATCAAATAGTCCCAAAACAATGTATTTGACTTCTAAGACTTGCTCGCTGAAACTTCAGAAATTCGTCTAATCACCATTATAAATACAAATTAGGAGTAAAATACGTAGCCATATTTCCAGGCCATAAAAATCATATTAAATTAATGTCCATAATTTAAAATTTGATTTCTAGAATCTAATTCTAAACTAGAAGTGTACCATATAGGCAGACATATACATCCAAAAAAAACTCGAGCGTATACCCACCTTAAAAAAAATATGTCTCCCTAACACAATTTCTGTTCTTCCCTCCTGCCGACAAAACACAGAACAAAGTCACCAAAGGGCAAAAGAGTAAGGAAACGCAAAGAGAGACATCCATAGAATCTATCCCTTGCCATTGCCACGGGACACAATAAATCACAGTAGTGCACGCAAGTAGACCTTTCCCAAAATTCCCCAATCCATCGCAACACATTACAACAAGAAGAAGCAAACTAAAAGCTCCAAAAAGGGAAGAGAAGAAGAAGAAGAAAAAGAACCGTGTGAAGACCACCGCTTGCAGGAATCCATATTGTCATTCCTACAGTACAGAATCGAACCCAAATTAATGGTGAGAATGAGCAGCAACTATCACAAAGAGAGAACCATACATACCCTCTTCGTACATATGACCAAATATAGATATGAAAACCTCCACAGATAAAATTGTAGGCTGCAGCTGCTGCTGCTCCTCCCTTGCCTGCTGCTGCTGGTGGGCAGTCGCCTTCACCACTTCCTGCACACGTGTCAAAGAAACACTTCAATCGCCTAACAATAATGGCCGTTTCACGACAGATGACCAAGTCATTTTCACTCGGTGTTGAAAACTAGAGCCCCATTAAAGAAAAGATATGCATGCACTGCATTCACACTTCGCCTTTCATTTTCTCCAATTGATGACGACGATGGAAGGGGGACCTAGCTTCCTTTTGTCCTGGACAAGTATGTGGAATATAATATATGTACCCTTTTGTCCCACAAACCAAACCACCAGCCAAACTTGCTTTAGGACAAGCTCTGTGAACAGATTAATCGACTAGGGGGACCAAAAACATGTGTTAACTTCTGCAATTCACCAACTCTTAGTTTAGGTTCCTTGTAGGACTGTCTAACTGCCTCCCAAAGGCATCCAAAGCTCCTTCATGGCTTGAGCGGTTGACACTTCACCCACTTTTTATTACCTCGGAGACCAGAGAAAAGCTGCAGATAAGAATTGCTATTCAAAGCTCCAAAATCAGCTTGGTATGATTGGCTATATAACGCCAAACTGGTTTTTGCTCATTCAACTTTAAGAACTACCCATATTTGTCCATCTCTTATCTATCCCTACTGCTCTAGGGTGCACCTTGGCTTTGAGGTTGATGACTTTGCTACAACTCATACCTACCGGGTTGTACCTGCAAGGCAAACAATGAACTTTTAGCAAGTTCTCAGCAACTAAAACACTTCCATCGCCTTATAGGGAACTCGGAGTTATGCAAACATTATTGAAGATAAGAAGCATTTTCCCTGCTAGTTTTCAGGATGCATCCCCCCTTGCAAGCCCTGGTGCCCTTTGCACATTAGGGGTGGTTACTGGTTAGGTATTAGTACTTGCAAGAGGATTGCGGCTGATAGAAAGTGCAGTGACTCCAATTCCTTGAATGACGAAATAAACTCTCTATCTAACAATTAATGGTACATGCATATCCAAAAGGGTGTCTGTCGATTCATAAATCTCTGCACCATTTGTTACCAGGACCATCCTAGAAAAAGTGACTGCTCAGACATCATCCTATTGACCACTGTTATTTAGCTATCGATCTGGCCATGCATGTCGAATGTAGAGCGTGGCCAGGACAAAAGGAGGCAACTTTCAGTGCTTAGGAAAACTTCCATTTTGCTGGCGTTACTCAAGTGTTTTCCAGATAAGGTGGGGCCCCAAAGGGTTGATGGGGAAAAGTAAACCATGAATTATTATTCTACATGACTTAACCATGTGAAATGTAGAAGGTGGAGAGTCGTTTTACCTATTATTATTGATCATGGCAGGACTTGTTTATCTTGAGTTGTTTCCCACCAAAGGAGAGGGTTTCCCAGTGGTCATGCTTGCGTGAACTGATGATAGGTTTCCTGTAATATAAACAAAACCAAATGTGAACCTCATACTTTTTCAACCTCTAAACTTAAGTGATGGTTTGACAGCCATGTTAATCATTGGTTAATACATCACGATTCTAGATAAGTGAGACTATTAGAAAAATGCACAGTAAATTAGAGAACATCATTGTCTTAAAACAAGAAATGAGATTTCCTTCTGATTTACTCCACTTCAATAAGGTGGTCACCAGCCACGTCAAACAAGTTGAGCTGGAGAAGCGACAAAACTTACAAGTTTTCTATTTACAGCAAGTATACCATATGATGATCTGGCTGCGGGGTAACAATGTAACAGCAAAGCGCTGATTTAATGTTTGAAATTGACTAAAGGGAAAAAAGACGGACATATCCTCAAAGGCATTAGAGGTGGAATAGCACACGTCATGAAAGATTATTGGCTATTGGACTCCTGAGAGCAAGGCATGGCTATAGAAGCTCTCTGCCTCAATCCAGCAGAGCTATATATTCACATGCATTCTTCTACACAATTGTCTGAAACTTAGGAAGAAAACCAATGAAAGGACACTTCTTTCACTCCTACTTCTGTCCACAAGGTCCAAAACAATACTAGGATTACCTGTCACAACATGAGTGATCTAATGGTCAAGCAAAGAGAGTCGTCTCCAGAAGCACCAGATGCAAAGTCTGAAACTTTAGCCTGCTACCAGCCACCCCATCAACCTCCGAAAAAGAAGAAGACCAGCAGCAACAAGAGCAAGAGGAGATTCAGTGATGAACAGATTAGGCTGCTAGAGTCGATCTTCGAATCGGAGACAAAGCTTGAACCGAGGAAGAAGATGCAGGTGGCTAGAGAACTCGGGCTTCAACCTCGCCAGGTCGCTATATGGTTCCAGAACAAGAGAGCTAGGTGGAAGTCAAAGCAAATTGAGAAAGACTACAAGATGCTCAAGGCTAACTACGATAGCCTTGCATCTAGTTTCGAGACTTTACAGGATGAGAGGCAGACCTTGCTCTTACAGGTGACTTCTGTTCACCAATATTATATTATAACAAGTTCCTTGTAGCTAATACTTACTGAATGATCATTTCATATTCCTTCTTAAAACAGTTGCAGAATCTAAACGCACTGGTGGAGAAATCATGGGAGGGAGATGATACCTGCAAGGACATGGAAGGAAGCCGCCAAGTTGTGGTAGCTTCAGAAGACAGAAACATGTTTGAGCCTCAAGCTGCACAGCAAGGAGTAGAGAACAAAGTATTCACAAGTTCACAGAGCTCCCAATTTGACAAGAGCAGAGGTTTTCTGCAACCAGGGTATGATGGGTACCAGCAGCTCGTGGACAAGGTTCAAGCAACAGAAGGTTCACTACCACCAGGTTGTCAATTTGATGTGTCTTATGGAAGTTCACAATGGTTCAACTTCTGGTGTTGAACGGCCAAAACCCATACAGGGAAATGCCTGAAGTTTGGTGGCTTTGATTTGCTAGTAGCTAAGATTGGTTTAGAGCAAGAACAACAAGGTATTGAATGCAGCAGGGTGATGAGCACTAATTTGACGAGAATATTGACTGTGACATCATGCAGGATGGTGATTTAGGAAACTAAAGCTGTAAAGTATAAGTTATAGAAATTGCATAGCTAGAATTTTCATTTGGATTTCGAAATTCTAATAATGTCTGCGTAGCATTGCAACAAATTCATATAGAGGAAGAATGTTGGTTTGAATTGTATGTATCAGAAGATAAGACTGCAGTCTACAATATTATGTGAGATGAGATGCAACCATGAACCGTATGAGATGATGGAAGACGATCCAAACAGCTACAGTATGCGCCTATGAGAGAAAAAACCACGATTAGGTGGAAGTTAACAAATCTCATTGAACTTTTTCACTGAATAATCAATCGACTGCCTAACAGTAACATTGAACGATCACTTGCAAGCCATGTGAACAAAAGAAGATCTTCCCAGTCTTCCATAAAGCCATGTCTTCAACAATGGGGAAAAGGTATCAACTTTCTCCCTAGTATTCCTTCGTGTCATGCCGCACAAGTCAAAACACGGCCCTGGGTCACAGGGACAATTCCACAAGCACTTGGTGTGCAAGAAGAGTTTCCGGAACCGGAACAACGATGACTGCCAAACTAATCCGCTCGCAGGAAGATGAGATTAATCTCCGACAACTGCCCCTATTCCCTCAACTGCTACTCCCTGCAACTTGCGCATGCTGTCCCAGGAGAAAAAGCCCACAACTTTCTTCCTTCCATTGAGTCAAAAATCGGCTTCAGTTCCCTATCAACCAGCAGTCCTGACTCGTGAGCTATGATCCTTTAATACTTTCTGTAAACTGTGACTACAAAACATAAAACTGTGAAATTCTAACATCTGTCCGACAGTTTGGCCGAGTGGTCTAAGGCGCCAGATTTAGGCTCTGGTCCGAAAGGGCGTGGGTTCAAATCCCACAGCTGTCATTTTTTCCCGTCACCCTTTCCACTTTCAGTTTTTCACATTTTTAGCAACACCGGCAAAAGCAATTATCCATTAACATGATCAACCATCGTGGCCACACAGAGAACCAAAAGAACAGAGACATCGTTCTAGCACCAGCAAGCAATCACCCATGGCGGCGTTCTCAGCCTCGACGACCACTGCATACCTCGCCAGTTTTGCTTCCTCCAATCAACCTTCTTCACCGTTGAAGCCTTTCCAGCTTCCCCTCATCTGGCCATGGCAAAAGGTAACACTGACCGATTCATTTCTCGCCACGGAAAATGGGTTTGTTTCTAACCAGATGCTTGTACTTGTTTACGATCCATGGCGATGGAATTGTTGGAGCAGGTGAAGATGGGTCCGATGACAGTGTCTCCAATGGGGTTTGGTACCTGGGCATGGGGGAACCAGCTTCTTTGGGGATACGACCAATCCATGGACGCCGACCTTCAGCGCATTTTCAATCTGGCCGTGGGGAACGGGATCAATCTCTTCGACACGGCTGATTCTTATGGGACTGGGAAGCTGAATGGGCAGAGTGAGAAGCTCCTCGGCAAGTTCATAAGAGAGTATCCAGGTCAGTAATCTGAGTGCTCTTCTTTTATATCTAGTGTAGTAAACCGCTTCATTGTAATTCTGCGTCTAATCTGTGGTGTATTGTGTGCCAGGGAAGGCAAGAGATGATATTGTGATTGCTACCAAGTTTGCTGCATATCCATGGCGGCTGACCCCAGGCCAGTTTGTGAAGGCCTGCAAGTAATGCATGCTTCAATAGCACTTTGAAAGTTGAGTGATGTCTTGGACTCTTGGTGCCACAATTGTCTTAAATGATAGGGCTTTTGGCTTCCAGGGGATCGTTGGAGAGGCTGCAAATTGAGCAACTTGGCATAGGACAGCTGCATTGGTCGACTGCTAACTACGCTCCCCCTCAGGAATTGGCGCTCTGGGACGGCCTAGTTGCCATGTATGAGCAGGTTATTATTGAGTTTGCAATCGGGCAGTAGCTAGCCGAACTGCAGAAGCCTGATTCCATCTCTCATAACATTTGTAAGCTCTTTCCGTTTCAGGGTCTAGTTAGGGCAGTGGGAGTGAGCAACTATGGACCGAAGCAGCTCGTTAAGGTTCACGATTACCTCAAAACTAGAGGAGTGCCGTTATGCTCAGCTCAGGTTCAGTTTTCATTACTGAGCATGGGAGAAGAGCAGATGGAGATCAAAGAAGTGTGCGACAGTTTGGGGGTTCGTCTTATCGCTTACAGTCCGTTAGGTCTTGGAATGCTGACAGGGAAATACACATCTTCCCAGCTTCCGGTTGGACCCAGGTTCGTGCGTGCAGCTTACATCGATCTGATCAAATCATGATGGCTTCATTATTGCTCAGTATGTTAGTAATACTCTCACTCTACAGGGGGCTGCTATTTGGTCAAATTCTTCCTGGACTGCAGCCTCTGTTGAAGGTGCTCTCGAAAATTGCAACGAAGAGGAGGAAAACCATACCGCAGGTTGCAATAAATTGGTGCATCTGCAAAGGCACAATTCCAATTCCAGGGGTGAAGACTGTTCGACAAGCAGAGGAGAATTTGGGAGCTCTTGGGTGGAGGCTAAGCTTGGAGGAGCAGATTGAGCTAGAATATGCTGCATCCAGTTCGCCAAGGAAAATGATCCAAAATGTTTTCCAGACGAGGTATGTATGCAATGCGCCCTCTTCCGCACAGAATTCATTACCTCTCATATTTTTTCTCATCAAAACCTTGTGTCATGCCAGATAATATCATGATTCATGACGACTCGGACTCGGATGCATACAGACCTACCATCATAAGCTCCCGGAACAATGATTGTTACTAAATTCCCTAAGACGAGCAAGTCATGGATCGTACAAAAAGAACAACGACAACAATGTGTAAACACGAAGTTATTATCTACAACAAAGAACCATTCATATTTCATATACATCCTGTGAAATCTGACAATAACCTAATGGCTAATATCATAGATCGTTCATGAAATCTGCATTCCAGTTGGGAAGTGTATTGTTTGCACACATAATACACAGCAATTCTCACAGCTGAGAACGAACAAGAACATAGTAGCATCTGATGTAATGATCAGCATAGGTGTCGAGCCTTGAAAGAATAGAGAACAATCCTGTACTCCCCACCATTTCAACATCACTCATTTTATATCTTTAAAGTACCATTCTAGAGAATTAGATTTCAAAGTAAAACAGCACTGAATTGCATTAAGATTTCAGTAATAGTGTACTGCCACAACAGATCGAACAAAGAAACCAGTACTAGCATTCGAGTCATGAAACTAATACACCAAAATTTCTGACAGCAACAAAACAGAATATCCAGTAACCTAACAGTAACTGCATCCCAGCATCCAGACTAACAATCTACTTGATCTTCTTCTTCGGCCTCAGCTGCAGGTAACAAAACAAGTAATGCATCAGCTACGACAACACAAAAATAGTGGAGGACAGGATATTATGAGAATGTACAAATGGGAAAGACAGTTACCTGGTTGCTGTGTCCACACTTCTTCTTCCTGCAGTTGACAGCACGGGGGTGGAGACGCGCATAGCACCTGTATAGACATCATATCCAACACATGATTATTACCAGATCAAATATCAAACACGCAACAGAACGCATTGAGAGAAGCACAACAGTTACATGAGTTGAAAAGAGCAAACGTTAATTGCACCATTACTAGAACAGACTAGCAGCTTCCACCAAATAAAGAAACATAGATCAAGTCGATAAAAGATTAAGGCCATTCATTAGACAGAAATGTGTAGCTTCAATAGTTCAGAATATAAAGCATTTCCTTCCTAAGCTCTATTACATGGTTCAACAACCAAACTAAAGCATTACAGTAAATAGCCTAGGTAAATGAAACTCTCAACTTACCCAGATCAATTCAATACGCTAGTAGCCACTAGGCAAACCTATAGACAGTGCTGAAGATTGTTCAATAACTCTCAATAATCCAAATTTACAAAATGTCCCAGGAAGCCCAATATGCTCATGTATTCGGTAATGCGGAAGACAATAACTCAGACGGGCAATACATGATTAAAGTAAGAAAACATATATGAAGTAGACACCAAGTAATCACTGTGGAGTCTCAAGAGGATAACAACTTACTTGCGGCAGATCATCTTCTCCTGGTTATACTTCCTGGCCAAAGCCATCAACGATGGCTCGATAATGCCACCACGAAGCCTCAGAACCAAATGAAGAGTCGATTCTGCACCACGAATTTCCGTTTCAGTGAAGACAGTTCCACAAATAGAATTCTCCAAAAATCCCCGCACCAAAAAGGAATCTCAAGCCACGTGAACGTAGAAAGGAGAAAACCCGGGAAAACTCACCTTTCTGGATATTGTAATCCGCAAGAGTACGACCATCTTCCAGCTGCTTCCCAGCGAAGATCAACCTCTGCTGATCCGGAGGAATACCTAATCAAACATCCACCGCCCCAAAACTTAGCCATCCACGATACCAAATTCTCAATTCGGACGGATTCATAAGAAGCATGAAGAAAAACAGGCCTACCTTCCTTGTCCTGAATCTTGGCCTTCACATTGTCGATGGTATCGCTCGACTCGACCTCGAGGGTGATCGTCTTCCCGGTTAGGGTTTTCACGAAGATCTGCATTTTCTCGACTCTTCTGTTCGCCGCTCTCTCTTGAGCTCTCTCACCGATCGTCCGCTGTCAGTTTCCGCGGCTGCGTTTGAGAAGTATTTATATGTAGCCTCCTTCGCGTTTTAGGGTTTTGATGTGGCGCGCGGTTATAAAACCAACTTATTTGGTTCAGGGTCCAGCTTAACCGAGATTCTAGCCCTATTGTTGGGCATTGGCCCAATAGATAAGCCCATATTTCTCGAAGTAATGGGTTGGTTTTAGACAGCTGGCCCATTTGAGTTCGCTCCGGGCCACGTGTCGAGTTTATATGCCGCCTCCTCAGCACTAAGCATTGTTGATTCCGTCATCTCCCAAACGTTAAATCAGAAATTCGCAGTCACGTCTCCGTTAGTGACCTTCCCCACCTTCCTTTCCACTCCCACTCGCTGCCGTTATTCTCTCCGGTTGACTATAAAGAACTTCCCACTCGCCGTTCCATGGCTGCGCTATCGCTCTCTTTCTCACCTACCTTCCTCCGCAGCAGTAGCACGATCTCGTCGTCGGTGCGCTCACTCTGCGGACTGCCGCTCTCTAAGCTTTCATTTCTCTCGGCCGATCGCTCGCTCGCCGGATTAGGTCTCGGAAAAGCGGAGACTTCGAGGAGATTTCAGCTCAGGCGGACCAAGGCGTTCTCAACTGCCGGGATGGCTGCTACTGCCGAGAAGAAGGTCGAGGTTTTCGACACGGAGGAGGATCTCGCGGTTTCTCTTGCCAAGTACACCGCCGATCTCTCTGATAAGTTCGGTAAAGAGAGGGGCTCGTTCACGGTCGTCGTTTCCGGCGGTTCTCTCATCAAGTCTCTCAGGTGAGTTTCGTCTGCGTTTGTTCCATCGTTTTTCTCCAGGGTTGGTCTCGTTTGCGATTTGAAATTCGAAAGGAGTGATTTTTAATTCATTGGGGTTTCAATTTGGCCGGATTCGATGCGATTTGGGGACTTTCAGGAAATTGCTGGAGCCGCCGTATATTGATTCGATAGAGTGGTCGAAGTGGCATGTGTTTTGGGTAGACGAGCGAGTTGTTCCCAAGGATCATGACGACAGTAACTACAAGCTTGCATTCGATCTCTTTCTCTCTCAGGTATCTTCTTCTCATTGCAATTTCCTCACTTTCAATGTTGTGGCTCTGCATCTAGAAAGAATGAATGCCACCTTTGGTAGAGAGTGACTGGATGGTTAGCTCTAGAGTAACAGTCTGAGTTAGGAAAATCATGTAGCTCTGTTGAATTTCGACCAAAACAGTGTTTGATTAAGATACAGTCGTTGTCATTCTGCTCTAAGTGGTGAATTCATTTCTGGATGGATGGATGTAGAAAGACGTTTAATGAAAAAGCCCTTACATTTATGGCAGGTGCCGATACTACCAGGCAATGTTTATGCGATCAACGATGCATTGTCTGCTGAGGGTGCAGCAGATGACTACGAGACCTGCCTCAAACATCTGGTGAACTCGGGGGTGATAGCCAAGTCGGAAGCTAGTGGGTTTCCGAAGTTTGATCTCCAGCTTCTGGGTATGGGTCCGGATGGGCATGTAGCATCTCTATTCCCCGGTCATCCGCTTTGCAAGGAGAGCAAGAAATGGGTTACTCACATCTTGGATTCGCCCAAGCCACCTCCAGAGAGGATCACTTTCACATTCCCCGTGATAAACTCGTCTGCCAACATCGCGCTAGTAGTGTGTGGAGGTGGCAAAGCTGATGTGGTGCAGAGAGCATTAGGCAACAGCGGGAAGAACGAGGAGCCACTGCCCTGTCAGCTAGTTTCGCCCGAAGGAGAGTTGAAATGGTTTCTGGACAAAGCTGCTGCCTCGAAGCTTTAGATCGAGCAAAGAATGCCTGAAGCAATAAGCTGCTTGAGATCTTCCCCCAGATCAGCTGTTTTCTGATAGCAGAGCTGATAGTGGACTGCCACTGTAAGGCAAATAAAAAAGGGAGTTGGGTGGTTATGAAATTAGGGTTTGTTCAAGGAAGAACTGTTTGCAGAGTAAGTGCTGGTACTACTTCTAGGCTTTAACTGCAGAACTTTTGTACACTTCTCCCCTGTATATTTCTTTGTAAGATCATCATGTTGATCTCCATCTTTCAAGACCTTGGACAATGCATATTACCTTGGTGTCGACAGATGCTGAATGTAACATAAGTCCTTGTTTATTTACGTTAATTCATATTCAGTCCGCATACTAACAAGGCATGTTGGCTTCTAGCTCTTCACTCCAAGCTATGCTGGTCTTCACTGCAAGCTCCGATTACTTCAGGGTCGACTTCTTCGATCTCTCGCTTTTCATCGGAGATCCTGTTTTCCCTGTCACTCATCTCACTCATTTGCATCATCCTCGAAAAAATGGACTTGATGAGTTGCCTGTTCGAAGGCTGACCGAAGCAAATGAAGAGACTTGATGAGTTGCCTGTTCGAAGGCAGACGGAAGCAAATGAAGAGCGCTAAAGCAGTTAACTTGTTGGATCAAACAGATGTCGACCTGTGCTTAACGACCTACAATTACAGGCATACAGCAGCAGCACCACCATAGCAGCCTCTCCATCTTTCGCTTTCTTTCTTCCACGTTGTAAGCCTTAAAGCAAGCACAAACCCAGTCGCAGCAGAAAGAACAAGGAGTACAGGCTCTCTGCACGAGAAACACCAACAAGATAATCAAAACTCTGCTCCCACCCAGATTCCCAAGCACTGCATTTTGCCTTAACCGGCACTGCCCCACGTTCCCTTTTTCTTTTTTTTTTGTGGCCTTTTCCCAACTTCCCAGTAAGCAACCAACTACTTGCATCTTTGATCCACTTGGAGCTCTGCCTGCGCGCGCTCACGAGGAGGAGCCTCGACATGCGGCCGGCCCATGGTGGCAGCAGCGAGACTTTGTTTACTTGGATATTATGCTTGGCCGCCGGATCTCGCCATCAATCGAAAGGAGACTAGCACAAAGCAACTGGCTAGCTGGCTGGCTCTAATTCGGAGACCACAATCATTCATTACAAGAATACAAAGTATATGTATATACGTATAAAATATTTACGGCATTGCGTGAACAAGAAGGGGCAAGCAAGACATGATCCACGAGAAGTGATTTAATATTGCAGGATGTTGGGCGAGCAGATCGGAGACCGGAAGAGCAGGGGAGACAGCGTATGGGGTCGACTTTAATTATTGTGCCTTGATCAACATGGGATATGATAGAGGATGATTGATTGCTATCAAGGTACATACTTTGTTTCCACCCAAACTACATTATTCATAAAATGAAATTATTATATATTTAACATAATGAGTTTTCTGAATGAGCAACCTCTCCAATCACGATATGACTTTTGTAAATCTCAAAATGTATCGATAATTCTGGTCCAACAATAAGGATGGTTTATCGGTAAGTATTACCTTGGAAATTTTCCCCCGCAATTCATTGACATGAGTTTCTTAGCTCAACAGTTTATGTTCTTGTCATGTTGAGCGATGTCGACCAACACATCATGTTGTTTCGGGTGTCAGAGAAGTGAAAAGTTTATGTTGATCGAACTTTGTACTTACGAAGTATATCAATCACGAGTCTATTATTCATAAGTGTTCGACACGGGGTCTGAGCCAGGTAAGGACGACGTACGTTTGATACGACTGAATCTATTTATTGGTACGTAACAGTTTATCATAATAATCCTTTTTTAATATTATGCAAATTATACACGAGTATCGATTGAATCGTTCTAAACAATACATTATACACATTAGCGATTTGGGTTCTTAATTTCAAAGAGTAATGCTTGAAAAGGTGAAAAGTGGTACCTGCGATTATTTCTCATTTCATTGAACTCACATAGTTATCATAAGACCCCAACAATTATCGAACTGAAAATAGACAAGAGAGTTCGTAAAATTTTTCACAAGAGAGTCGATGTGACTCACACTCGACCACTGAGTTCTCTATTACCAAAAATACTGCTAGGCTACCATTAGATTGGTAGTAGGGATGGCAATGGGTAGGGTCGGGTGCGGGTTTACCCTATACCAACTCCTAACCCGCCGGGTAGAGCTTTCTAAAATACCCGACCAAATAACCACCGGGTATGAAAATGATATAACGTACCCTACCCACCTGGTAACCACGGGTATTCGGGTAACCATGGGTACGAATCCTAAACTATGAACTTATACACATATATGCACATATATACTGTTGTCCATTAAAAATTCTCAATACTTGTAAGTTGTAACTGTTCTAACTTCAACAATCCACACAAATAAAAACAACAAACACATAATAATTGTTCTTGCTTCTACAATCCACACAAACATAATAATCATCTACATATTCATCATCAATAATGGTAGCTAAACTCAATTTCTCAAGCTAAAATAAATTTCTCAAGGGAAATTGACCCTTTGGTTAGCGGGGCGGGTATAACGGGGCGGGTATTATCGATTACCATACCCGTACCCTACCCTTTATTTTGAAACCGGGTATTATCCGTACCCGCCCCTTAACCCGTCAAAACGGGTAATTACCCTCGTTGTTACGGTCGGGTAGGGTACCCATGGTTACGGGTTGGATTGACATCCCTAATTGGTACATTGAGTTTGTAACTTGCATAATGCAAGAGAATAAAGTGCATTCAATCCAACAATATTAAAATTGTGGAAACGAATAATTTTATAAAAATTCAGATTATCATGCTCTATGGGTCTTCAATCATACCATTATGTAGTGGGAAGAAAACGATTCTGTCTCAAATCAAAAGGAATTAAAGGCAAAAGAGAGAAAATGGAAGCATGTAGTAATCCGGGTCAGAGAAGGATTAATTATCATTGTTCTTCATAAAAAATATCATAACTCATAATTAACCTTGTTCACACTTCAATCACCTTTTTCCCTCACTTTATCTTTTGCTTTATTTAATTGCTTTTTTTTTTTTTGCTTTATTATAGAGTTTTTTGTTTTCCACTTTCTTTTTGTTTTGTTTTTAAATAATAACAGTGTGGAAGAAGGAAGCAAGGAACTGTGGATCGGAGTGAGACAAAGACAAAACGAGGGAGAAGAAGCCCAACAAAGCCAAAGACGACTTTTCTCTCTCTCTTCCATTTCCCCCCTTTCCCTCTCCCTCTCTATCCCTCTTTCATTTTCCTCTTCCCCTTCGCCTCCCGATCTCCTTCTCAAATAGCCACGACGGCGCTGCTGCTGCTGTTGCAACAATTTACTTTCCGGAGAGACCCCATTTGAAGCGGATCTTGCTTCCGTTCACACTCTCAATGTTCACTCCCATCCCCAACTTCATCAGCCTCAAAGCATTCCTCCACATCTCCGGCAACGGCGGGACTGCCGGTGGCGGTGGCGGTCGGTTCCCCTGGGCACTGACCACGGTGGCGGGTTCCCACTCTGCTTCTTCGCCTGCTGCTGTTGTAGCCGTCACTGCCTTGGCGGGAATCGCCGTCTTTGCCGCCATCTTCTACACCACTAGTAGGTAAAATCCCCATTAGAGCAGCAGCAACAACAACAACAAAAAAACCCAGATTCCCCCTCCCCTGAGAATACAGCCGGCAGAGAGGATTCGGTCTTTTTCTTCTATTTCTTGATTCAGTTCTTGTTGTGGCTGTAGATTGTAACTTTCTAGGGTTTTAGATTGTGATTGTTAGTTGGGTAGTTTCAGAAAACTGACGCTTATAGAAGGGGAAAGGAAAGGGGAAAAGGGAGAAACAAAAGATTTCAGTTATATATTTAAGTAGATGAAAGCTCTGAGACGAAGTCATACTTCGTCGGCGTCTTCAAATACTCCTTCTCCGTCGTCGTCTGGTTCAGGATCATCGTCCTCCACCTGGATTCAATTGCGTTCGGTCCTATTCGTTGTTAATTCCTCCTCACAAGCACATTACTCCCATCTCGATCGGTGAGTCCCATTTCCTTTTTGCTTCATCAAATGTTCTCCTTTCTTCCTCCTCCCCACTTCTTAAGCGTTTTCTTTAGATCCGACCCCCAGGTTGCTTTAGATTCTGCTTTAAGTTGGTTCATTTCTTCCCCTTGACACTTCTTATCCTAGAGTTAGGCTCAGAACTTCGATACTCTGTTGGGTTATTGTAATGAATGGGTTTCCATAGGAAGCTCCGTTTCATTTCCATTTCAAGCTCTTTCCAGTAGGCTGAATGGTGGATTTTTTGGGGTTAGCTATGGTCCTAAAAAAATTATTGTCACTTCCCTAGTGCTCTAGAGATGGGTATAACACTTGCCATTGGTGTGTGATTTGCTTGAGTTCTTGATTAATTGTAGCATGAGTTAATTGCCTGAAGTAGGTATTAGCTTCTTAGGCTGTTGTAAAGTGGAAAGGTAGTGCTCTCTTAAGTTTGGCATTTATATCTTGCTTTTTTTTCTTCCTGTGTTCTTCCTATTGTCTTTTTTCTTTCCATGGGTGTCTTTAAGCTACATCCCACTTGAGTATTATATGAGTTAAAGAATAAAGGTTGTTTTTTGCTGGTCTTGCATGTGAATGCTTGTAAATGTATGTTTCCTACTTTTGATTGATTTCTCAATTTCTAAAACCCGGTTTCCGACTGGCATGTCTATGTCTATGGGTTGCTATTACTGTGTCATCTCAAGTACAAGCTTCTTATTTTGAGGGATATAGTGACTAATCGGGAACTCTCTTCAATTTCAGGGGGCGTCTCAAATCACCATGGTCCCGTAGGAAAAGAAAACAGGTCCTTACTCCTCAACAATGGAGTAATTTTTGTACACCAGATGGGAAACTACGTGGTGGTGGAGCCAAGTTTTTGAAGAAAGTTCGAAGCGGAGTGAGTAGATTGGTCACTCGTTCTAACATGCTAAGATTGCATTTCTGTTATATTAATATCTCTTGTTTCACGACACAGGGTGTTGAACCAAGTATTAGACCAGAGGTCTGGCCATTTCTGCTTGGAGTGTAAGCCCTCATAACCCTGTTGTCTCTGTCCTGTTTGTGATCTTGCTGTTCGTATATATCTATAGTTGTTATCTATCTCCCATCCTTGTCTGCCTATCATTCTTCAATCTCCAAATAATTTTTTGATCATCTAAGATACTTTGAATATGTGTTTTTCATTCGTCATTCTAAATTTAGGGAAGGATGTAAGTATCCCTAAAATCTGGGGATAGAATAGCAATCCATCTTTGGACCATTGCATAACTCATAAGGGTTGAGCCCCAGCTAGGGCCTACTTATATGTAGTCTCAGTATGGTTAGACCCATAGCCTTAATAATCTCTTAAAGGATGTGCTTACCTCTATCCAGACTCCTTATAAAGGCCTCAACTTTGCCCACTTCTTCACTCCTGAAACTAGTTAGAAAACCTTGTGCACTCATTTCCTTGCATCATGATGACCTATGATTAGCCTGGTTAAATTCTAGGGTCATTTCCTGACCCGTTTGACAACAAACTTATTGCCGGTCACATCTTTATGTTTGTAATATATCTTTTCAATTCTGGGGGTAATTGGGATGTCCTGGAAAGGAATGGTGGGACTTGCAGTATTATCTAGGTCTAGATAGAAAGGGTGTTTGCATACCCATGCTTTCAGAAATCTGTTTCTTTTTGGCCATTAAACATAAATCTCTGTTAAGTCTTTATTTTAATGTTAGTCAATGGTATCCTATAGAGTGATTAGTATATGAATATTCCTCCCTAACTCACAATTTGTTCCTGGTTTAACAGTTATGACTTGGACAGCACTAAAGAGGAAAGGGAGCTCCTAAGAACCCAGAAAAGGTATGTCTGTCCGAATTCAAGCTAGAATGAAACTTGAAAGCTGGATCTTGCTACCTTGAGATGTTGTCAGCCCTTTGCTTCATTCTTCTTTCGGAGCCTCCATTCATAACTTCTGGTATCTGGTTATGATATGGTTGTATGATTATTTCTTGATAATCTGGTGCAGGAAAGAGTATGAGAAACTCAGGAGACAGTGCCGGAGAATCCTTAGGCGAAGTTCCGAGACCTTCAAATTGTGTGAAAATGGTGAAACAGTCGACAATGAAGAAGATGGTGGAAGTTCTGCTCATGATACTGACTCTTCGAGTCACGAGGATGTGGTCAGTGCCCGGGAGTCCCTTTCTAGTGAAGGAAAGAGTCCAGATGTTGAATATTCAATTGATCCATGTACCACACTTTCAGAAGGTGCTGATGCCTCTGCACAAAATACTGAGTCGTCTGACGACTCTGAATTATCCGAAGATTCTGAAGTCATTCAGGCATCTGCTCCAGAAAACAGGGAAGATAATGATGATGTGCATGTTTCTTCCAAAGTTGATACTTCTCCATCACTTCCAACTCGCTGTGCTGTTGAAGATTTCGCCACATGGCAACGAATAATTCGTGTTGATGCAGTGCGTGCCAACTCAGAGTGGGTCCCTTACTCCCCTTCTCAGGCTTCCGTATCTGAAGTCAGAGCCCAGCGCTCAGCTGAGGCAGTCGGGTTAAAAGAACACGATCACCTTGAGCCATGCAGAGTTTTCCATGCAGCAAGACTAGTTGCCATATTAGAGGCTTATGCACTCTACGACCCTGAAATTGGTTATTGCCAAGGGATGAGCGATCTACTCAGCCCAATCATTGCAGTGATGCAAGAAGATCACGAAGCCTTCTGGTGTTTTGTCGGATTCATGAAGAAGGCTCGACATAACTTTAGGCTTGATGAGGTAGGCATCCGAAGGCAGCTGAGCATTGTCTCCAAGATTATCAAATTTAAGGACTCACACCTCTACAGACATCTGGAGAAGCTTCAGGCTGAGGATTGTTTCTTCGTTTATAGGATGGTTGTGGTGTTATTTAGGAGGGAGTTGAGTTTTGAGCAGACGCTTTGTCTGTGGGAGGTCATGTGGGCAGATCAGGCTGCTATAAGAGCTGGGATCGGGAAGTCAGCAGGGAGCAGAATTAGGCAGAGAGTGCCTCCGACGGATGATCTGTTGCTCTATGCTATCGCAGCTTCAGTGCTGCAGAAGAGGAAGTTGATAATCGAGAAGTACAGTAGCATGGATGAGATTCTGAGGGAGTGCAATAGCATGTCGGGTCAACTTGATGTGTGGAAGCTTTTGGATGATGCACATAACTTGGTGGTCAACTTGCATGAGAAGATCGAGACATGATTCGAGCTGAGTGACACATCTGCTGGTGCTGTTTCCTGGACTTTGCTTGCTCCACTGATTTATTTGTTTTTCTTTTCTGGAGTTCTTCTAAAGGATCATCTAAGCCTCAGCAGGGAATCTAGAAGGCTGGAAACGCTCTTGGCCGGTTCCTGATGTTCTTTTGAGCATGTTTTTATGGCAGTTGCATGCAATGCTTGTAAAGGAAACCCCACTATGATTTTTTTTATGCATCAGTTGCTCCTCCTGGAATGTTTCTATGCTGCTTTCTAATGTTTGAAAGTAGGTATAGCCTGCATTCCGAGCCAGTATGATCGTGTACTGGGGACTGATTTAAGAAGGAAACATTATGTACTACGGGACTATGAATACCAACACACTGATTGCTGAATTCCCAATCGTTTCACCCCCTTCAATATTTCCCAAAGAACATGGCTGCTGGAACGCATTTGAATTGTCCTATCATTTGTTAGAGTGCGTATAGGTGTAATATCATGAATATTTGTTCGATTGGCAATTTTATCTTTGGGTTGAATCTGAGATCACTGGTAGAATGCAAATAGAAACACTTGCAGGTGTGCGGAGGGAGAAAGGCTAGAGGTAAGGTGAGCTATGCCAAAGTGAAGGTGAGAACTACATGCCTGTGATAGGTAATGGATTTGAAACCTCCTACATTATTCCTCCTCTCCAACTGCTTGATTATTGGAAGCTATGTACTTTCCCCATAGTTCGCTCCTTGCGAAGCACAAGAACATGGTTGCAGGAGAATAGGATGTATACTTGATTGAAGAAGTTGATTTCAGGTTTATGACAGTGGGCGGTAAATTCTTTTTCAACGGTTTGGAGACTGCAGAAGCGTTGGCACTGTTTTGTCTGAAAATAAGTTTATGTTCATTCTGTTCGATCTAAACATTGTGAGCGCAAGTAGAGTTCTATCTACAGAAGCAGCTGTTAGATTTGTAGGTTTTATCCACGGAAGTCTATTATTTCCAATATTCAAAGGGGTATGTCTTACTGTCGACATATTGGTCACGATGATAAGTCACAAAATCCCCAGGAATCTCTTCTATTGTAGGAACTCCTCAGAACTAGAGATAGTGAATCTTGTCTAAAGGGTGCACAACACCCCTCATTTACCAAGAGAAATAAGGAAGAGTTGAACCGAGCAAGTACTGCTATATTACTGTCAAGCAAACACAATAATCGACACTAACCCGACTGTGAAATAAACACCTGTGTAAATGTAAATGTTGGCAAACATAATGCAAGTGAAAGCTAAAGCAGAGACGCTAGTACTCTTGAGTAGCATTGTTGAGTATTGTAGGGGTTCAGGATCCACGAGATTAGGTGCGGCGGCAGCAGCTTTTATTCCTTCTTGGTGTAGGTACGGACAGCAAAGGCCAGCCCCAAAATCAAGAGGGGAACCAGAAACTGCAATATCTTGATCACAAACTCTGGGGTCTTGTCCTGGTTGTATGACTGCTGTGGGGGAACGTACTTGCGTTTTGTAGGAACCGTGTTTGCATCTATCTCGCCAATGTAGTACTTGTCCATCATCTCCCTAGCCGAATCGCTGTGCCCCACGTCCTCAAAATCGTTTGTTGCATCTTTCCCTGAAAAGAGAAAAACCCTTGTCATATGATTATCCATCCTACTTCAAGCTGGAAAAACTGGAGGGAACTGCAAAACTACTCCCTAATGTTATTATGCAACTTACCAGTTGCTGACAACAAAACTTCATCTCCTCCGGGATGATCTTCCATGAATGGGGTCACATCATAGACCTAAAGATTCACAGATGAGCAAAATTCAGATGGTATGTTCCACACCACCATCTAATAGACACAACACAGCAAGAACAAGGCATAGAACAAAAGCAGGTCCATCCTTTATTCCTTTTCTCGATGATAATGTGACAGTAGTATCTCTTTTCCAAATACATACTAAAAGGTCATCAAGTCAAATAAGAAGGATTAGGATTTGGGATCCCCATATATAGTCCTTCAATCACGCATTCTACTGCCTATGAAAATGATGTATTTCCATCTTTTTTTATCACTAACATTCATTCCATCAGGGAGGGAGCAAAGACAAGTAGGCCAACTTCCTATAGGTCATAAAAATCAATCATAATTTGAACACAAAAGATAAAGTGCCTCTGCACCGTTTTCCCATGACTGCAAGTAACCTCAAAGGACATCCCTAACCATACAAATCAGAATAGCTAGTCTTAACCATTGGACATTCAATGCCATTTCTGAGGTAGGAACAGGTTTTGTGGACAGTGATGAGAGTTTTGTGATACGTGAAGGAACACATCAAGCTGGATACACCATGCCCTCGTTCATCAGCACAACTTTGAAGGTAACATGATTGATTGTAATCATAAAAAAAAAAAAAAACATCAGACAACTTTGACCGGAGCATAAGAAACCGTCAGGAAGTTTGATATTTGAAGAGACATGCAACGGGGGTAAATCCAGAGTCATCAAAGTCTGTCACTTTACATCGGATAGCAGATATTCTCAGCAGCAGTGAACCACAAAGGGGTTGAGAGGAACAGAAGAACAGTTTCAACACAAATAACAGGCAACACCAATTCAGAGAACTAAGTTTCAGATCAGAACAGAGATCTGACCTTGCCGGAGATAATAAGCCAGCAATCTTTGGTCTTGTTGTGCCCAGAAACCTCCTCGAACCCATAAACCTTCTTCGGATCTGACGCCATAGCTATAACTCCCTTTTTGACTTCGTCAGAACAATACCACTGATCACGACACCACCGGGAAAAGAAAAAAAATTAGAACCCAGACCAGTTTATAACGGAAAGTCCCCAGATTGGGATCCAAAAACAAGAATCCAGCAGTCCACAACAACTCCACAATCATCCAAACAAAGACCAGCACAAAACAATCTAGAACAGCTCAAATTCCAACAAACAAAAAAAAGGTGGAGTTGAATTACCCTGCCGCCTGAGATGCAGAATCAAAGAGAGAGTTGGTATGGGGGAGATGTAGAGTGGCCCTCAACCGGCTCAATTGACTGCTGCTCTTTCCCTCGCTCACTTCTGCAACTTTCTTTGTCCACGTCTGGCGAGGGATCAGTGGGGGAGGCGTGGCAGGCAGATTCTGTATCCTTTATAATGGAATTGTGGCAGTGACAGACAGGTAAGAGCTTTGGAGGAATCGACAAAATGCCCTTCGCGTTTGACTTTATTTACGAGATGCCCTCCTCTGGCCGCCCACGGGAATGATGGGCAGACTCGTAATCACAGAGAGGAAATTAAGGAACCGGTTTGGTTTGGTAGGAGTTGTGGAATTGGTTGGCTGGTTGGACCCTACATTAGATCTTCGTAAAGATGGCTGCAGAATTGTGGTTGGAGCCTGGAGGTGCCATCCTTGACCGACTGTACCGGTTGGCGGAAAATTGGCCCTAATAACGAAGAAATCGTGAACTTGTCAGCTTGTGGAATCACAAAAATCTTTGGCAAAGGATTAGAGTGCTGATGGAGATTTGGTTATGAAGTTTTGTATCATCTGAGCTACATCGACATTATGTATACAAGTATGAATTACACTTCAGATGATTAGCTTTTTGGTGCATTGATCAAAGTATGGATACAGATTTTAGGTTTATTTACGTTTAAAATGTTAAACGGTCAGACATTTTAAGTTTTGTAGATATTGTGTGTAGTGGATCAACCTTAGCACGGTAGCACCTCTCATAAGCTAAGCAAGGGCTCTATGTATACTGATATTGCTTGATACTAATGTGTGGTTATGTACGTTGGAAGCAAAATTATGACGTATATACAATGAATACCCGATTTCTTTATTTAGATTCTATACGATTTCAAAATAGAATTACAAAAACTATAATGTATAATAAAGTATGAGAATAATTTGTATGACAATTATATATTGGTGGTGATAAACAAATAAATGAGGTTTGACCCATAAAGTTTGGTGACAACAATTCATCTTACATTTTTGTGTTCCCAAAGGATATGGTCATTAATCAAACACCCTTGGAAATATAATATTCACACTCCTTGGAATTAAGACCATGTGATATTTGCTACTTGCTTGTGAATCTACATTCACTGTTTTTTCCAATTGCCATCTTTTGTCAGTAAGTCATTTTTGTTGAATAACCTCTTTCCTTTGCTCCTTGTGGTCAAACAGAGAGCAAGCAATTTGGTCAAAGTTCAAAATGAACACAGCCACATAGGGACTCAATTCAGACATCAGAATTGAAAAAAACCTAATAATTGCTGTGTAACCCTGGAAAGCTCAGTTCTCTATCTCCATGAAATCCTATTTTCAAAGCCCTATTCACTAGCCGTGTGAAGCCCATGCAAATAGGAGACCTCACTTTGGCCAGAGCAAGAATTGCCAGAATCCACAGCCCATTTTCACATATCGGCCCAGAACCAACCGCAGGAACCATCAACCTAGGCCATCCATCATTCAACATATGTAAAAAATACTTCATTTCGTCGGGAGTTTGAAAAGAGGGAATACGTTGTTTCTGGATTTCAGAACGACCTTAGATAAACTTAATCAACAAAAGCTAACAATTGCTTTTGTTATATTGATTGTGTTGTTTTGGATTGAATAACAACCATCTAACCCTAGATAAACTCCTGAAACGTCTCTGATTTAATATGATGTTGGTATGAGGTTTAAACACATGAATAGAGACTAGTATGTAGAGAAAACTAACATGTTGATGTAGTTTGACACATAAACATCGAGGTTATGAGATTAACCAAAGTGTTGGACAAACCGAAGGTGGGACACAAAACATGCATACACAAACATAGAGGAAAGTCTTCCAGTGATCTCATGGTTTTGTGATTTATTAATAACCTACATATTAGAGTTCTACTTCGATACTACTATGTGCGATGATGTTAACGAGTGCACCAAGCGGGTAGTCGTTGGATATTAACATTTTGTCCATGAGAAGGTGCAAGATCCATTGTGAAGTTGGCATTGTTGTTAGAAATCGAACAGAAAAATTAGGGTTACCGATATGGCTGAGTCGCGGACTAGGTCGCTCTCTTTAAGACGTTCGCGGCACTGCCTTCATTGCGCACGGCAGACTATCAGCCGGTCGCCTCCAGGATAAAACAGCCACTCTAATTTAGTTTGCTCGGCGGTTTTGTGCGAAAACCAGAGTTCTATGAATTCACTCTCTCTCTTGCTTCTGCTCTTCTGAGGTGTGTTTAGAGGGTCTGGGGCGTCTCCTATTTATAGGAGCAGAAAACCCAGAATATTCCCTCTTTCTTTGGGAATAAGTCATATTTTAATTAGGGAGATAATTACTCCCATAATTAAAATATAATCTATTAAGATAATTATTCCTAATTATCTCCATAATATTCCTTTTATTAATTATCCATCTTATTTATGTATTATGGGAAAATACTGGATAATTAATTAGGAATTTCATTTATAGCTTTTCAAAGCTATTCATCCCAACAATCCCCCACTTGAATAGTTTTGAAACTATCTCTGAGCATCAACAGATCCATAAGATCGGGCATAAACTAAGGTATCGCGAAGATTTGAACCTTAGCGTAGTGGTTACACTTCCGATTTCATAAGGGTGACTCGTAGTCTTGAACCCTATCTCAGACAATGTAGCACACCGGATCTTTTCATTGAGTGATATTCTCTCATAGGCCGTGCGTTTATGGCCATGCACGTTATCCCGGTTTAGTGAACGCTCTAGCAACTTTGTGCCTCCAAAGTTCCATAGGGAGCGGCCCCACTCCCACATTCACATAGGTGAGTCTATCAGAAGTACCCCCAAAGTAAAGTACTCCACCCCACATAGGGTATAGATCTCATTAAGAGTTGTTAACTCAACCTCCATTGCTTTGGGATTCATGCTTCACTATGCATGAACTTTTCGCATACTACTCATGACTTGTTATTACCCATTGAACCCATTTCTTGGGATCTCCAGTCTATTGGGTCGGGTTACCATCACTTGTAGTCCGTGGTTCGGTAGGCATAAGTCCCATACCCTTCGTGGTATTTTTGGACTTTCTCTCTGGCTAGTCCTTTCGTCAAAGGACCAACTAGATTCTATTAGGATCTTTCATGATCCACCCTCATTGCTCCTATCGTTAGGAGTTCTCTTACAGTACTGTGCTTACGACACATTTGTCGTCTCTTTTCGTTCTAGAACCGGTTCCCTTCTTTTGCAATAGCTGCGGTGCTATCACAATTAATCAACTACCGGAGGGATCGGTCTTTCCCATAAGGGAATCTCTAGTAGTGACCCTCTCAATCAACTTTCCTCTTTACTAGTCATTGCTAGTTCTATCATTTTCGATTTCTTAGTTGATTGAGCCAGGATCGTTTACTTCTTAGACTTCCAAGACATAGCTTCTCTATCGATGTTTTAAAACACATCCTCTTGTTGTCTTGGAGTCCTCTATAGGGTATTCTAATCCGCATCACTATACCCTACCAATACAGCAAAACCTTTGATAACAAATACCAAGGTTTTTCTGTTCTTTTAAGGTGTCTCATGACCCCCTTTCAATAGCATTTCAATGCTTCATACTAGGACAATCAATAATCCTGCCAAGTACCCCCACTAAATCGGGTCTCATGTTTATCAGTTGCCTCTCGCAGACTATAAATGCTAGTATATTCTAACTTTCTTACACCGTCTTAGGTGTTCTTTAAATATTTATACTAGCACCATCAAACATGTATGCAGGTGTACATCTTGTATTTTCCTAGTTATTAGGATCTCTAAGAATAACATTTGTTTCAAACAGATCCTTCACATTCAAAATTCTCAACTATCATGGTTTTTCAATATTGACATCACGAGTCTTTGTACCCAAAGATCGACGTGTCATTCATAATGCAAGTGTCATTCTCAAATTTCTACTAAATGCACTTGTCACTTTCACTTTTAAAACCATGAGAGAGAATCTGATTATTCATGACACTAATTCTGAGTCTATTTCAAATCATATAATGATTTGTCTAGCCATAGACTCCAGAAGCATGTTCTAGAATAACAATCTTTAAGATTGTCCCAATGTAGATTTCTTTATTCAAATCACCATTCAAAAAAATATTTTAACGTCCATGTGATGGATGTTATTCTACATATTGGTGAATAGATATCAAAGAAATCTACAATTTATTTTCCCTTCACCTAAAGCCTTCGCTACTAGGCGATCATTATACTCATAAACTAAACCATCAGGTATCAGTTTTCCTTTTAGGAATCCATTTATTACCTTGGCATCATTGCCAAGAGGTAATTCTCAAAGATGCCAAATCTTGTTCGATTCTATCGATATATTACCCAAGGCTTTTCAACCAAGAGGTAACTCTACAAGATTAATAGGACTCCAATAATTTCATTTCGTTAATAATGGATTCTCCCACAATTCTGCATCTTTATGGAAGTTCGAACTTCTAGCAGACTTGTAGGATCTTTCTTTCTTAGGGTGTAAATAACAAATTCATAACCAAAATCCTTTCGTGATTTATGGTTCATTTGTCTCTTCTGAGTTCATACTCAGATTCATCACCCCCACTAGTTATCCATTATTTCTAATAGTAGGCAGGATATCACCCCCACTATTTCTTAATATAAATGGAATCTATTGGCATCAATGGTTTTCACAAACTAATGAGTATTTCGTTTCATAGGCTTATGTGTTTTACAATAACTTACACACTCATATGCTCTTCTAGTTATCATGTCACTGATTCTCTAATGCTACCACATGCATGCCACATATCGAATAATCAGTGCAATCATAATGCAACCAGGCATTTCAAACTATTTTGAATAACTAGTTAGACAACCAGAGCACTCTAAAGAGCAATAAATCATTTATTGTCTTTTCCATCAAGTTTACCCATATCAAAATAAATCAGATCTATCGATTCTGATTCTCTAACCACATATTTATGGGTCATTTAGCTTGAATATACAAAATTCATATTTTTCTCAAGCATCCAATAATAATATGGGAATGCGATATAAGATATTCTAATTCTTCACACAGACACACTTGGAAGAATTTATCTTATCTACTTAACCATTCCTTACATCTAGGATAGTCAATGACTTTCTAGAGGCAGGGTTCTCTTCCACTTTTCCAGAACCATCAACAATAGTGGTGAGGGTCTTGCCCAACAACACTTTCTCCTTCAATACGCGTCAATGTATGATTGAGCTTAGCTCGTTTATCACACACATATCTTGAAGCGGTCCTATCCAACAACCATTCTTCAGAGTTACCATTAAGGCTAACCTCTGTCATCACCTCAGTGAATATTATTACCAAATCCTCTTCTTTAGTCAAGTTAACACTAGGTTAAACTTGTTCTTACACTTTCGTGTCTTATGACCTAGTTTCTCACAAATTTAATAGAGAAACATAGCGTCATTCTTAGAGGATTGGGTGACAATCTTATGGTTACCACAAAGGGTACCATTCTAATTGGTGTGGCTCTGGTTCAACTTGCTGCTCTCATTCTTGAAACTTTAATGTTTTACAGCAACCTAAGTGGTTCGTGTAGTACTGATAATAGTACTTCTTATAATATCGTTATTATGGGCAATAAACCCATTCTATTCCCCTATATTCTTCATATACACTAAATTACTCTATTCCATAACATGCATTCAACTTTATGCTCTAATCATTGAGAAAAGCACATCTCAATGTCAACATAATCATGCATCAATACTCAATCTCTAGCATTCTCAAAATTTATTAAATTCATGCAGAGAGTTATATGGAATAGATTCTACTTTATCATTTATTAATGACTTAGGAGGAAAGTTTTAGTTCTTACCTCTTATCGAGAAATCATTGCATTCTGATTTTGCAATGAATAACTAGTGTGTCGCTTAGCTTCCAATTGATACTCCCTTATCTGAGTTCCGCTTTCAATTAAGCTCAAACCGTCCAGTACTTGGGCCTGCATAATTCCACTTTGATTGCCCACCATGTTCATCTTTCTTTTTTCAGAGTCTAGCATCACTACTGATGCGACAGCCAATCGAATTTTTATGCCATATGGCTCGTGCATATCAAAGTGAAGAAGAGACAAAAATGGCGTCATTAATATCAATATGCATAAGCATTCCAGCTAAATTAAACTCGAGCAATAATGATTACACGGAGTTTGAGAGGAGAAGCTAGTAGCTTCTTTCACAGTCATCACAAACGCCGGAGCAGCTGAAGCCTGAAGCATTTCCTTGAGAGCCGTTCTTTCTTCCCTTGGTTTATGTCCGTTGATTATAGTTTCCCTGATCAGTTGATAACATCTGCTTCTCGAAGAAGCTTCCAAGCCTGGGCCTGGGCCTGTGCCCTCACTATTTGCTCCATAAAGGCTCAATAAATTGACATAGGTTAAGCTACACATTCACGGCAACCATTGCATATTCCACAAACATGTATAATGTATTATTTAATTAATAACCTACCCTCGAGCCAACATGTCGCTCATGGGCCCGGACCTATTACCTCTCATGGAGAGCCCAGCTGCGAAGAGTCTCAAACTCTCTCCGGCATTGAAAAATGGAAGGGCAGAAAATACAGTGCGGACCGGAGGAGGAAAGACCGACGGAAGCCACTGCCCGAAGCCTCTCCATGGCGAGCTGATGATTACGACTCCACCATTCGAACACCCTTCCACATGCTTATCGTGGGATCTGAATTCCTGTACCAACTCGAATGCAACATCTATCTCAAGCAAGCAGTTCAATTCCGTATTCTCGCACAAGGAGATCTTATCCCGATCCGGGAAAAGAAAACAACTGCGGTAGGCCTTTTTCCCGAGCGATGCGACAATAGTAATCGATCGAGCCAATATCGGCATCCTGTTCGATACAAATGACAGCAACCGAGCGTCTTAAAATTGTTAGAAATCGAACAGAAAAATTAGGGTTACCGATATGGCTGAGTCGCGGACTAGGTCGCTCTCTTTAAGACGTTCGCGGCACTGCCTTCATTGCGCACGGCAGACTATCAGCCGGTCGCCTCCAGGATAAAACAGCCACTCTAATTTAGTTTGCTCGGCGGTTTTGTGCGAAAACCAGAGTTCTATGAATTCACTCTCTCTCTTGCTTCTGCTCTTCTGAGGTGTGTTTAGAGGGTCTGGGGCGTCTCCTATTTATAGGAGCAGAAAACCCAGAATATTCCCTCTTTCTTTGGGAATAAGTCATATTTTAATTAGGGAGATAATTACTCCCATAATTAAAATATAATCTATTAAGATAATTATTCCTAATTATCTCCATAATATTCCTTTTATTAATTATCCATCTTATTTATGTATTATGGGAAAATACTGGATAATTAATTAGGAATTTCATTTATAGCTTTTCAAAGCTATTCATCCCAACAATTGTGGTAGACATGAATAAGTAAGACCTAATGCTAGCATTTAACATATAGGAGCGATGTGCCAAATATACATTGATGAATTAAATAGTTCTCTTCATGGACAGAGTCGGAATTCTAGATTACGGGGCGAATATACACATATTTTTTTACAATGAGATTGGCTGATGTTGGGGATCTTCCTGTGCAAGAAATGAGAGACATATGGACAATGGTTCATATTATAGCACTGGTCCTGCAATGCATCTTCTACAATATCCAGCCAGCTAGGCTGAGGCTCCCCAATATCTGATTCGTCTCTGTCCGTCCATCTTTCTTACTGTATTATCTTCTTCTTTCAGTAATCCTCGTCCTCAACGAATTATTGGTTATCAGATAGAAAAGAGGACCACCCTCTTTTGCTCAAAGAGGAAAACGTGGAACTCCTTTTAAAGCAGACTGTGATCGATGGGCGTCAATGGCACCAGTACAATACAACTGCTGAAGATATTTTTTTGGCAGTACAATAATGCAAAAAAAAAAGCATTCTCAATCCAGTCTATATAAATGCCACTCACTTCAGCAGCTCAAAACCCATCATCCCAAGTTAGAAGGACAGAAGAGAGAAAGAAGAGAAACAGAGAGATTAGGTTTTGGTTTCAGTCTTTCAGAGCAGAGAGCCATGTCGTCGTCGATGATTTGGAGAAGAGGGATGCACACATTGGAGCGACTGAAATCCGCCAGAATCCCAGAAGACGTGATCACGCAGGGTCAGGAGCGAGTCATCGACGCTTCCCTCACTCTCATTCGCGAGAAAGCAAAGCTCAAGGTAATAATTTGTTGTGTTCTGCTTACTCTGGCTTCCTGTGTGTGGATGGATGACTCTACTGTAATTTCGTGGTAATGTCGCGTACTACATCTTCTGCAGGGAGCGGTGGTTCGTGCGCTGGGAGGCGCGGTGGCGACTAGCTCGTTGCTTGGAATCCCGTTGGGACATAACTCCTCGTTCCTGCAAGGTCCAGCTTTTGCTCCTCCTCTCATTCGGGAGGCAATGTGGTGTGGCAGCACCAACTCGACCACCGAAGAAGGTAAAATGATCGATGATCCACTGGTTATGGCTGATGTTGGGGATCTTCCTGTGCAAGAAATGAGAGACACTGGCGTGAGTGATGATAGATTGATGGAGGTCGTCAGTGAGTCTGTCAAAATCGTGATGGAAGAGGTGATGAGTTCCATCATATTTAGTTTTTTTTCCTTCAATTGTATGTTAGTTAATTAGTGTCATCCGAATTAATGAAGTTTTGCTGCAGGCTCCATTGCGGCCACTGATTCTAGGTGGGGATCATTCGATCTCTTACCCGGTAGTGAGAGCTGTGTCGGAGAAGCTGGGAGGGCAGGTGGATGTTCTTCATCTCGATGCTCATCCGGATATCTACGATGCATTCGAAGGCAACAAGTACTCTCATGCTTCTTCATTTGCCCGGATCATGGAAGGTGGTTACGCTCGCAGGCTTCTGCAGGTGGGCATCAGGTCGATCAACAAAGAAGGTCGTGAACAAGGGAAGAGGTTTGGAGTGGAACAGTACGAGATGCGGACCTTCTCCAAAGACCGGCATTTCCTCGAGAATCTGGTCTCATTTCTAGCTGATAACTCATTTACTTGCTATTGAAGTAACTGACGAGGAGGATGAACTGACTGACCTGTTTGCTTGCTTGGTGTGCAGAAACTAGGGGAAGGGGTGAAAGGTGTGTACATCTCCATCGATGTGGACTGCCTCGACCCAGCGTTTGCTCATGGAGTGTCTCACTTCGAGCCTGGCGGGCTGTCCTTCAGGGATGTTCTGAACATCCTCCACAACCTGCAAGGCGATATCGTGGCTGCAGATGTGGTGGAGTACAACCCCCAGAGGGACACTGCTGATGGGATGACTGCCATGGTTGCTGCTAAGTTTGCCAGAGAGCTCACAGCCAAAATGTCCAAGTGATCATATATCCATCATCAATATTCAAAATCATGTTGTTTCAAGTGATCATTATAAATCTGTAATTAATGATGCTTATTACCCTAATAGTTGCTCATTGGCAGTCATCTTTACACCTGCCAGGGCATCATATATGTCATGAATAAATAAAAGATGGAAGGTCTTTCCTGAGCTATACCTCTTTCATTTGCTACTTGACAAACAGAGAGCAAGCAATATTATCAAAGTTCAGAATCAACGTAAGAATACAATCCAGACACCAGAACTGAACCCTGACAGAGCTCTCTATATCAACTTTGAAACTTCATACATTTTCTTCTTCTATTAACTCACTATTTTCACCAGTTGTGGTGAGAAAACATCGAGCATATTATTAATATGTACCCTAACTGCTCAAAGATCTATCTTTATCTCTACAATGATGGCTCCACCTTTCATCTTCCTCCAATCCTTACTCTATCTCGAAGACCCTATTTGCTAGACATGAAACCCATACAAATAGGAGGAGTCACCTTAGCCAAAGCAAGAATTGAAGCAGGCAGAATCCACAACCCATCTCCACATATCAATCCAGAAGCGACTGCTGGAACCATCAACCTAGCCTTTCTGCTACTCAACTTGTGCCACATGAAAACAACCAAGCTCCCCACGCACATATCAATCGCAAAGTACGCCCCCACAAGGAAAGGAACAGCCATTGCCATGGGCAATGGAACCCACTTCCCTACTTTCTTCGGCAACAAGTCTCTTGATAAGTTGGCTGCAATGGCAAACGCGAAGAACCCATAACATAACTGCAGGCAGTGCTGGGGAAGGGCAGAGAAGCCTTCCACTCCAAGAATCGCCATGTTTCTGTAGATGAGAGCATAGGGAGCCTTGTACTCGCCTTCAGGGTTTCCAACATCGAATGCCTTGTAGAATAGAAAGAATGTGAGTGGAGCTACGACGCAGCCAATGGCTGTGCCAATTGCTTGGCTAAGAAGCATGGAGCGAGGGGAAGTTAGAGTGAGATGCCCCGTCTTGAAATCATGCATTAAATCGGAAGAGATGGAGACAATTGACTTGATTAGCCCACACCCTACGAGCCCTGCAACAACGCCATTATCTTTCCCTGATAGTGCTGCTAGGATGAAGAGGGCTACTTTGCCGTAGTTGTAACCCATGTTCATGTCTGTTAACCCTGCACCATATGCATTGCAGAAGCTGAGGGAGGGGGCTAGAATGTAGGCGACCACAACGTAGTACCATTTGAGTTCGGGGAACATGAGAGGGATCACTATGATGGAGATGATGGAAAACGCAAGATAGCCTATGCAGGCTACCCAAATTGGGATTGTCTCCCTCACAAATATTTCATTTCTTCGGAGATCATCGGTTGGAGGTTGCTTCTGATTTTCAGGACCTGTGAGGCACATGAAGTACTGAACTTTAGCAAAAAAGTTCTGAACTTTCATTGACTTTATGTCATGTAATCGACCATTTGAACGAATTTCACTTACGGGTTCGGACATTTCTTCTTGTTCTTGCACTTGCAACGATGTTGGTAGCTGTGAAATAGAGTATCTTGAGGAAATTATACAGTCCATCTCCCAGTATCATAGCAATAGAAATGAACACCTGAAAATGATGTGAGAGAAGTCGATTTCCATGGCTTAGTCTGCAGTCTTCCTTTAAATGGAGGGAAATGAGAGTTGCTTGTTAAGACCTTGTAACCATTGAGACCCTTCATACTGCTTTTTGATAAATTTGAAGGAAACCATTTGCCTTCGAGTCCTCCGATCAGTGGCCACATTACACCATAAGAAAGCACGGCACCAAAGAGCAACGACAAATTAACAAGATGGGAGCATATCATTCCTGCTCCAACGTATGTCGGGCTGAAATCAAAGTAAAATCTGGAAAAAAGAGTTCAGTCAGTTTCCATTTTCTATATGCAGAACAATGATGAAAGATGAGAGGTTAAAAGAAAGAAAGCACTAACGTGTTCTTAAAAGCAACCAATCCAAGTGTAGGAAACTGAACAAAACCACATGGGATATCGGATTTGGGTGCACCAGTGTAGAACCACTGAAAGAAAGCCCAAATGAAGCTCAAAGAAAAGAACCTCAAGAACCCCTGAACCTGCTTCCTGCACCACCAAAATCACACTACTGGAATTTGAGTTGGCTTCAAACATGGAACAAACTCGGTTCTGGGTCAAACAAACGGAAATAACAAAACATACTTGGCCATCTTGTCTCCCTTCGGAGTATGAAATCCATTGATAAGAACCGCAGTAGCAGTTCCACTAGGATATGTCAGTTTGTAGTCAATTATCATAATCTGAAACATAACAAAAAAAGTTGCAATCTTGATAAGTAAAGCACTGATCTTAATCCAAAGCTAGCACAGTTTGCATATTTATTTCAACGATGTTCATCCATCTCTAACACAGAACAACAGGCTAACACTGTATGCATAGCACAAGAAAGGACCTTTACCTTCCTTAGGGGAACCAGAGCAAGTAACCCAACAAAGCTGCTTATAAAGAGGAAACTAGTCATCCAGCCAACACCAGGTTCCTTTACACTCCTCGGATTATTGCCCTCTGAGTCAACCCCAGCTTGCTCATAGGTCTTCCTGTTCAAGCCCAAAAGATAAGATCCAAACCCACCTGCAGTCCAACAATTTAAGTTCAGTTTACCTAAACACATACACCAAAAAAGCAAGAAACTTTAACATGTTCAAGGCTCTAACCTGCAAGAGAAATGCTGTAACAAGCCACAGCACACGTTTGAATCAAGGTGTTCTCCTGTCTTGTAAAGGGTTTGGAGACAAACCCAGCTTTCTTCAGGAACTTGGTCCACGACTTCACAAACACAAACGCAAGCAGAGCTGCTGAGACGTTGAAGTTTGGGACTAACCCAGTTGTGAGGTTCAACTTCATCACAATCACGCTGTAGATAAACCCAATTGCAAGGCTGGCCACCATCCCCCTCATCGTGATCTGTTTCGTCCATGGGACAATCCTCTTCACTTCTTCTTCTTCCTCCCCAGCTGCTTCTGCGGCAGCAACTTCATCTTGATTGTCTCTATCTATACTGTTCTCAGTCGCTTCATCTGTTTCCCGCCTTTGAATCTCCTTCATTTCCTCCCCGTTACTGCCCGTATCCCTCAGTTGACTCATTGCTTATAAGACTGCTAGTTCCCTGTCTTCTTCTCTTTGCCTATAATACACACAATCAATAATCAATTGACAGCGAAATCAGACCCAATTCGGTTTTCCTTTTTTGTTTTCTTCTTTCAGACCAATCAACCGCAAGTAACATGGAAGGTGTAGTGCATTACCCGTAGCAAGAATCTCGGCTTTCTTTTATCTCCCCACTTGGATTTTTCTTCTTTGCTGCTATTCTGTCTTCTATATGCTTGGCCTTACTTTGCAAACAGCCAACTTGATATAATAATCTAATCAACTATCACAAGGAAGAAAGCAGCTGAGAAGGCAAATACTTGGGCGGATTCAGTTCCTTTTGGAGGTGTCCCGAGTTTAGCATTTCAAGGCAAATCTCACAGTGATAGCATTGAATTGAGAACTCAATGCGGTGAATACAGAAAGAGGGAAGGAATCTGGAGATGGGGAATTTATACCCGACAGGCAGAAGGGTGTGTGGGGATGGCATCGAAACTGGAACAGGGACATCTCGAATTTATAGAGAACGGGAATCTTGAGAGAGAGAGAACATAAAGAAGGAAAGTTAGGGTGGAAGGGAAGAAGGGGGGGGAGATTGTCAAAACGTCGATTTCCAACCAACCCACCAAAGCAAAGCATTAAGCGGCCACAACCCAGAAAAGCAGATCAGTGACCATCAACGTTGTACTGCAAAAGTTGTTTAGCAGTACAGAGTAGCCAAAACTCAACGGACAGTGTAAAAAATGCGGTACTAGCTTAGTAGTAGTAGTACTACACGCTAAATGGGGAAATTCAATGGACAATTGCCAACTATGGCTGGCGCTGAATCTGCCCACCTGGCATCGCTCCCTCTCTCCTCCTCCTTCGTTGACTCCTTCTCCTTCTTGGTCTAATTCCTGCTATCTGCACCATCGGCTATGGCGGATTTCCAACCGTCGATCGCAGTGACAAGAACCCACAACACATGATTGCGCGATGGGCATTTTGGAATATGGAAACGTGACGGTGATGTAAAATGGTGTTGTGCCAAGCGAAAAAGAAGAAAAACAGAGTGGCTCCATCTCCATTCTCGATGACAGAAATCGAATCCTTTTTAGTGCTCAAATAGTCGACGTTTTTGCCCATTTCAGGGGTTGTGAATTGTGATGATGAGCGTGTGGCTGGAACTTGAACTGAACAATATTTCTCAAAGTGAGATGGAGAGAATTGAGAACGGATTCGAAGGGGGACATGCACAAAATAGCAATGATGAGAATGAGATTACGACATCTGACAACATTGTTTTTCATTTTGGTCAGAATTATCGGTTTTTCCCCTTGAATATATGATAAAAGTAAAAAAGATCACTTTTTTGCTTAAAAATATCCGAAGCGATTCCTTTTGCTTCAGTTCTTCTTCTTCTTCCCCGCCTCACCTCTACAGAATCAGAATATCACACTCAAACGCCACCCAGATCCCCCTTTGTTCAAGTAGCCATCATTCCAGGCAAAAAGAAGCGAGTTGAGCAATTGCGTAAGTAAGCAAAAGAGAATCGATATGGTCGTAGTTTAACCATAACCCTCATATTATATTCCTTACGTCCATACTTTATAGTTTATATCTTTCTTTAGAATAATACGAGAAAGTGACAATGGATGTAAGTGTTATCTTCTAGGCATCTTTTGATCTTCTTGTTTTTTTTTAGCTTGGAATTTTTTATCGTCAAAATGAAATTAAGATTCGGTCGAACTGGTGCAAAAAAATGGAATAACAAAGCACAAAAATTTACCTTATATGAAGTACTTCTTATATTGTTTAGGGGTGGGAAACGGTGTGGTCTGGTCTGGTCTAGACCAGACCATATATACGGTCTATGGTTCAGACCGAGACGCTGAAGTATAGACCATATACTAGACCATAGACTATATGATCCGGTCCAGACCATGCCTGTGAGGTCTGGTTCGGTCTGGTCTGGTCCATATAGACCACTCAACGAAAAATGAACAATTTCTTTAATCAACCACACAAAAAATTGAACCAATAATCAAGAAAAATAATTTTTGTTTGCCTTAACATTGATCCTAGCATGCATGAATAAATTTGATACCCTAAATCTTAGTACATAACAAAGATATCAATTAAAAGCATATCAACTTGCACCATAACGTTATAACCATTAACATAATGTCATATGGAGACACAATTATCTCTACTCTCTGGTTAGGTGTGGTTCCTAATGAAGGAGTGACGAGATTCACAAAATTAAAGTTGAGACTTGGGTGTCGTTGTGGGAGTTGGGAGAGTGGTCGAATGGGCTGTTAACACGTATTGACAAATCGGTTGGGTCCACGGTTGGGTCCGGTAAACCGCAGTCTAGACCAGACCAAGAGATCAAAACATAAAATAATACAGACCATGGACCAAACCAGACCATACTTAACGGTTTATGATCTGAACCAAACTGTACAGTACGGTTTGGACCACGATTTTTCTAACGGTCTCGTCTATTTTCCCCAGCCCTAATATTATATTATTGGTGCTTTGTCTTCATTTGATACTATACGATCCCTAGACGTAGAAAAATTAGCTCGTGTTGTACCAAAATCGAAACCAACCACTTAAAATTCTTTAGGCCCAGATAGGTAGGGCCCAAAAGTAAACCCCACGCAGCTCGGCCTAAAACGATTTTTGAAAGAAGGAAGGTTGAGTCAGGCCCAGAACAAGACAAAATGGGCCAGCGAACTGACCGGCCTAATTTCGGGGAGTGGAAAGGAAGGCAAATAGCAGAAGGAACAAATTTCCTTCCCTCATCTCCCCGTTCCTGGTTTCTTACTCCCCAAGATGAACGAATTTCAGAAACAATCAAATTACCCCAAAACCCAACACCTTCTCTATCCTCATCCGTCCAAACCAATTCCTGCAACCAAGTTCATTATAGTTTCAGAACCCTAGAAATTTTCCCTCTTTCGTACGGCTAAGAGGGGGAAAAGGGGTGGATTTTTGACTCGGTGGTTGTTCTTTTTTTTGGTTCCCCGTCAATGGGTAGTTCGTCGGAGACCAAGGTCTTGCAGGAGCTGCTGCTATACGCAGCGAGCGCGGCCTTAAGCTGTCTTGTCCTGTTCGTCGGGCTCCGCCATCTCGACCCCAATAGGGAGGCTACGAAGAAAGCCGTTGAACAGAAGAAGGAAATCGCCAAGCGCTTGGGTCGTCCTCTTATACAGACCAATCCTTACGAGGTAAGGCTCCCCACCATCTCCCTTATAATCTCGCTGTTGTTCTTAATTTTTCTTCTGGTTGCATATTACTGCTGGGTTTTGTTTGTTTGTTTCTGGATTATTAAGGTAGCTATGGTGTTGTTGGTGGCGACTTGTGAGTTTGTTTGGTCTTGCCTTATCTGCTGCTCTTGTGGGCTCTTCTGAATTCTCCCAGCTCTCCTTAATTTGTGGGGTTCTGAAATGGAAATTTCGAAGCACGGAGTAGGTTTCTAGAATGCCTGGTAGGATAACTGCTTTGCCATGGGAAGACCATTTAGGAGATGAATGGTTCTTGCTTGCTTTTATTTCGAACAATTTGTTGAGTTGTATGCTTCTCTTGGAGATGTTGGGATCTTCAATAGCAATTGAATGATTTACTATTTAAGGGATAGATTTGGAAATCAATTTGAATGTTCCCCAATTGACTACTAGAATTTCATGTCACTGATTCGTTGGTGTGCATCAGTCTTTAAAGTTCTGTCCTTTATGCTAGAATTTAGGATAAAGGTCATCTACGCTCAAGAATTTGAGTCGCTCTCGATGTGAAACATCCTAGCCTGAATTGCTGTTAGGTATTTGTCAACATTTAGCATCATTACTGCCAACGATTACTGGATGCTGCAAATCTTGTAACTAGTGCTCGGATAATTCCAGCTTTAAGAATATCACCTTGCTTGATTTGGAATTGTTTATGGCTCTCTCTCTCTCTCTGTCTCTCTTTCCGGAAACAGGGCGGGATTGAAAGCTTCATGAATCTGATTTCCTTCTATCTCTGATATTTTGACAGGATGTGATAGCTTGTGATGTTATAAATCCTGATCGCATTGATGTGGAATTCAATTCTATTGGCGGATTACACAACATCAAAGAAGCATTATATGAACTTGTCATTCTTCCACTCCGGAGACCTGAACTTTTTTCACATGGGAAGCTTCTGGGTCCTCAGAAGGGGGTCTTGTTATATGGACCTCCAGGTACAGGAAAGACGATGCTTGCTAAAGCTATTGCAAAAGAATCTGGTGCTGTTTTCATCAATGTTAGGGTTTCAAATCTGATGAGCAAGTGGTTTGGTGATGCTCAAAAGCTTGGTGAGTTTGTAAGTCTGGTGCTTCTAGTTCTAATGCACCTTGCATATCCATGGTTGCATGTGTGCAATATTAGCTGCTTTTATTGGTCCTTAAACCCTTGAGTGGTCGCTCGAACTGAGACAAAAAAAAATATTTCTGTTGTAGTTGCTGCTGTGTTTAGCCTTGCTTATAAACTCCAGCCGGCGATCATATTCATTGATGAGGTCGACAGCTTTCTGGGACAGCGGCGTTCTACAGATCAAGAAGCAATGGCAAATATGAAGACTGAGTTCATGGCTTTGTGGGATGGTTTCACAACAGACCGTGAGTTGCTTCTATTCATTTTTTTCAATTATGATTGTTTCAATCTTTTGCTGGTACTTAGATGAGCTTTTTTTTAATAAGGTGATATATTATTAATTAAACTAGAAGATTAGAGATTACCATACTTGGATGAGCTTATCTTGCTAATTTTATGGGTTTAAAATATCATGCAGAGAATGCAAGAGTGATGGTGCTAGCTGCTACTAATCGTCCATCTGAACTCGATGAGGCAATACTTCGACGCCTTCCACAGGCCTTTGAGATTGGAATGCCCGACCGCAGGGAGAGGGCTGATATATTGAAGGTGATTTTGAAGGGCGAGTGTGTTGAACGTAACATCGACTTCAACTATATAGCAAGTCTTTGTGATGGTTACACAGGTTCTGATCTTTTTGAACTCTGCAAGAAGGCTGCTTATCTTCCTATTAAGGACCTACTGGACCAGGAGAAGAAGGGCAAGAAACATCAAGTGAGTATAATGCTTTTGATAATCTATATTATGTTGCATTTCTTTTGGTTGTTTTCGCCTAATTCAGTCAGTGGCGTGCTAGTCAGCTGGTTTACATGCTTGTTGATTCTTGTTTTCTTTTGTTGATATAAAATAAGTTTCTTAACTAAGATTTCTTACGTTCCTCCCTAATCCAGGAACCACGTCCAATGACCCAGACAGACCTTGAGAAAGTTCTGGCTACATCGAAAAGGACAGGAGTAGCGGCAACTGAGTACAACAGGTCAAGCTCTCAATCTCCTGGGTGGCCCAGGCAGTCTTCGGACGACGATGACCATGTTCACGCTACAATAAATCAGCTGTCTAAGCTTGTAGTTTCCCAAATCTTGAATCTTCAACCAGATTCTCGGGACGAGGTGAATGAGGAACATTAGTAACATTATTCCCCCGTTACGCCTAAGCTTTCGAGACCATGGGAAATTTTGTCCTGTCAACTACAATGATGCAACTGACCGGTCAGGTTATATGAGGCGGGTGGTCGTAGCCTCTGTAGAAGTTAGAATCTTTCTTTCTTATGGTTGTATTACATGTTCACGTGTAAGAATAGAAGCTATATTATATATGCCAGGATTCCAGCCATTGTTATCCCATTTTTGCAGTGTAGCGTATCCTTCTGATTCGGTTTAAACTAATGGTTGGTCTGATTCGGAAATGGATTTTACAGTTCATTGTGGAGGCTTGTTGCAGTCAGCCTGTGGTGAGTTCGTGCTGGTGAGTGATGAAGTGATTCAACCTGGATGTATCTGGGTTTAGAGCATTTCAACTGCTGCAACGGTTTCGTTTGCATTTTTAACAGCTTTATGACTGTATTGAGGTGTTCGGTGTTGGGGACGAGCTCGGCTTTCCCCTTAAGGACGACAGTAGATAGGCTGACCTGCTGCCTGGCAGATGAGCTCACCACGACGAATGACTACTGTACAAATCATGTGACCCCTAGCACGGTTAGATCGGTGATCAAAGCCCATGCATCATGTTCGATCTTGCGACAGAGGGAGAAGACATTCTGATAACATCGAGACAATCGATGAACCAGAAAATAAAACTTGGATCGATAGGCAACAATTTCGCCACTTGTAGATAAGGGATGATGCTACAGGGAAGACAAACGAACTGGCCTACTTACTGAAATTTGGCACGTACGACTAAAACCTAAATTCTAACCTGACTTAACTAACCTGATCTAGTTTCATAACAGAGTGCAAGTGTGCAACCAAGTTTCTCTGCCCATTGCAAATTCCTCCAATTACATTGCATCATTTGGAGACTAAACGGTCTTAAAGGAGCTAGCCATTCACCTTCCTTGGGCTTCTTCACTCCACGACTCCGCCTGAGGGCGATGCTGTTCTCTTGCCCTACCTCTGCTGGGCAGATTGAGCAACTCGGTCGTCAACTGGTGGGCATTCTTTTGTTAGTCCTGACAACAGCCACAACAACAACAAATGAGAAGAGGCGATGAGACAGGAAAACTAGGCACTAGAAAGAAAAGTCGAGAGACGACATATACATTGAGGATCTTATCGTCTCGCCAACTTCATTGAAGTTCAGATTACAACGTTGCAGTGTTTGCCAAAACAACAGAATCCGCAAGGGATTGGCAAGGAAAGAAAAACAAGACGTGCATGCAGGTGCTAACGTAATAGGCGATACATGATGAGGAAGTAGCTGGTTCGGGGGAGTGTACTTCATGATATTGTTGCAGCATACTTCTGGGGGAAAACTTTACTTCTGTGTATCTTTGTTTCCATTAGTGAATTCCTAAACCTGACAGATACCTAAATACATGACAGAAATGAAGTTCTCTCAAGAGCAGAAGTAACTAATTACCTACAATGGAGGGATTTTTGTTTTTTTTTTGTTGCTTCGACTGCTCTGAACCCAGCAGCTGCGACTTCCATTGTATAGACCTCGTAGTTGCTCGTACCTCGGAATTGGAGTAGGCCAACCAGAAACCTTGGGCTGGACCACCCTCCAACTATGACCTTTTTCAGCAAAGAATTCTATCTCTTCCCCGCTACTCGTCAAATTACAGGCGTAGGTACTAGCAAACCTCTCATCATCGAGATCCAAATACCGTAAGAAGACAATCTCCGGCTTCTCTGGATGCAGATCAGCTGGAAACAAGTACTCAAGTTTATAGTTACCCCTTCTTGACGCCGCGTTCACCAACCCTTCGTGTTGTTTCTTCCAAGACTTACCATCTTCTTCCAGCCTCCAAACAGTCAAGTGACCAGGCGGAACATCACGGCCAGTTGCAACCAAGTGCAAAGCACCCTGTGAGACGGTCAGACTGCAATCCGTCAGACTGTTCAGGATTTCGGAAGCATCCATATAATGAGTGGGAGGTTGATCATCAAGGTGGAAAGGATGAAGCGCAGCAAGGAGACATCTTACCCTACCCCTAGCGCCATCAAATACGGGATACGAACAATACAACTCCCCATTGCAGGAAACTAATTCCCAATCAAAGGGCCCATCAGGAAAATCAAGAACCATGGCGTCCTTGGTCCATTCTCCAGATTCAGAACAAAACAAGTCTAGTCTCAATCTCATAGTAACAGCACCAACCTCTGTATACATGCAAGCCACCCGGAACCGATGCTCAGAAGCATAAGCAAATTCACGGCCATCTCCTAGGTCAAGATTAACAGTAGCCGAAGAGGAAATGCGGGGCTCACCGACTAACCTTGGGCACGGTCCGACGTAATCGAGTGTCTTTACAGGCGCTAAAGGGAGCGCGACCCACTGCTTGGTAAAAGGATTGCAGACAATGTATGATCTATCCGATTCGAGATTACCAGGTCCTAAATCCTCAAACCCGCACAAGAGCAAATCCTTATAGTTATCCCAAACTACGAAAAGCCGTAGTAGGTCGGCCTCATCGGTAGGCACGGCGGCGATGGGAAGAATGCTCTCAATGACCAGCTGCGCGTTGGTAAGAAGCATCGGTTGGTACCTGCTCTGGTGGTGGGAAACGAAGTGGCGATTGAAGTAGGGACTGGAGATCATAGAGGTCCATCGCTTGCAGACGGATTTGCAACGGCAGGAGTGTTTAGGGTTTGGGAGGCGGATCAGAATTTCTAGCAGAAGATCGTCTTCAAGGTTGGTGATCGGGCTCGCTTCTGAACGGATCGTCTGAGAGCGAAGGCGTACATTGGAGGCGGCGGAGATAGAAGCCGAGCTGCAGCTCTCGGTCGCCATGGCGCGCAGCGTGGTACTCGACAAAGGACAAGCAGACAATCTAGCCGGGCGGGAGGAGAAACAAAATGGGATTGTTATAAGAACCCAACCGAATCGATGGGTGCGTCAGCAGAACCGTCAAATCAGTTATGATAGTGGTTCGGTTCATTACTTGGATGGTTATGGATGGACCAAACGATTTTTCATGTTTCAACATAAAATCAGAAGAACCACCACGGTTTAACTGATTCATTGGTTCACTATTTTAACCACAAAATTAAAAAAAAAAAAAAGATCATCAAACTATAATTATTAATTTATTCGTGGTTCCTCTTCTCATTTCAACCTCATTGTTGACTTAACGTGGTTCACTACCGATTAGCACCATAATTTTTAACTTGAATGAAAAAAATTTATGATTTCTCTTGTGAGACAATTTGAATGATTTGTTAGATATTTTGGTGAAGATATGAATTTAAAATTAATTATAATTAAAGATAACTTCATTCTTAAATTAGTGTATTATATAAATCTCGTATGTTATATAAGTTCTATGAAACGTTAACGGTTAACAATTTTGTAACGGTTAACCATTAAAATCTAAACCAATAATGTTTCTGGTTCAACATCAGGTACGATTATGAAAACAGAACAAAATGGTCAGTCTAGTGAAGCTAACTAATAGTCTCTTCCATAAAAAAAAAATGCTAATTAATAGTCTCACAAGTCACAACACGAAGCGTTTCTACATATGTTAACGACTTTTGTATTAACTTCTTCCCGGAGAGAGTGCCGACTGTGGAACATCGACGTCGTCGTGCCTTCTTCGTCGACGGCGAGTGTGGCCTTTGCTGCCTTCTACCCTGAAATATGAGCATTATACTCTCCCATCCAACGACCAAACTAAACCACAAACTCTTGCAGTTTCACATTTCTTGCTTTGGGTAGTATACTTGCAGAGGAAAGGAGGAGTACTGTCATGTTGCATACCCAGGCACACCTTTTCAACTTGTGCTTTCAACCTTTACGTTCCCTTGTTCCTTCTCTTCATCCACTGTTTTCCAAACAACATCCTTCAGTCCAGTCGAGACGCTCCTGTAAAACTGCATTGCGAGCAACGATGAACAATGTCAGCATCAAGTCGTCAATACGTGTACTGAAAATGTGGTGACCGACTGCAACTTTTAAGCAACATCAAACTCTAACTGAGGCTGTCAAGGGAACTCAGATCACCCACGTCTTTCATAAAACATTCGAAGTACTATTGACGAAAAGCTGATACTAGTTTGTCCAGATGGCCAAAAATAAAATGCTGAAGGTTCAAATCGGTGGAATTAGTATGCTATTGTGCGAATGAGACACAATCAAATACCTTGTGGAATTTCAGGGCGTCACCACCAAACTTGCGAAGCTCGACCGTGTATTGAGAAGGAGCCACCTCAAAGATCTGAATGGAAGACATGGGTCAATGCCCTCATACAACTGAAGTCGGATACAAGAACAGAACATTTTGACAGTGCTGGAAAAATGCTTGAACTTACTTCAGCTGCAATTGAAAGGTGACCTTTAGGTCCTGTCTTCTCTCCTTGAAGAGTCATCTACGTTGTAGAACGGAAGAGCCGTTAAACTTTTGGAAAATACCCACTTCTTATGGAAATTCCTTGAGAGACAGAAAGAGAGAGAATACTGAACCTTCAAGTTATTCTTCTTCACATCAAAATGAAAAGATGTTGCTGCTGCTTCAATTTGTGTAATTATGTCATTAGCGGATCTTTTCGATGCAAAACCAGTTTCACGTTTACCAAGTTCCTAAAAGCAAAAGGAAGACTAAGTTTGATTCTGTTCCAAGCTATTAACCAACAACCTAAAACCGACCTAAGCAACACCCAAAATCTATATGCTGGCTACATTATGATTGCTTAACAATGAGATCAACTCAAAGCCGATGAAGCTACCAAGGACAAATTATTTTACCAAAACAGGCATCAACATCTGAAGTATGCGGCTAATTACTAGTTGAGCAGACATATATATGCAGACCTAGAAAAACGGAAATGTGCACATTATCAAGAACACAGAGAAAGGAGCAACACTTAGGTTTTTTATAAGCCTTAAACTTAAGGGATCTGTCTGTTCATGACAATATATATGGGGCGCGCCTATTAAAACATACCATCTGCTTCTCGAATGGACTACTGAGGTCAAGACTCTGAGATGTAGACATCAGTTCTGAAGGATTCATAGGAGCCACAACAAAATTCCGAGTGTCCTGTTCATTAACAGAAATATCAATTTCAACTTTGCAAAATATGATATAAGAAATGCCCGCATGGGGGAGGGTGAAGAACTTTACTGATGAATCATTGAAGAAGGAGTCCACATCATCTAGACCAAAATCAGCTTGTTCAAAAACAGGTGGCTCATACTCTTTCTGAAACCACTCATTTTCAATAATCTCAGCAGTACTGATTCGCTGTTTCATCATGCGAAGAAAACAACGTAAATGCACTAAATCTGCAGCAACAATGAATACAAACAAGGGAGCCAACAGAAATCAAAGATGCCATACCGTAGATGCATTGGGATCCAATATCCTTTTAATTAGTTCCGCTACACTATTGGAGAACCAATGGGGACTTGTATAATCAGCTGTAACAATCTGCAATCAGAAATTATCAGGTAAAAACATGGAAGAAGGATGATTGCTTCCGAAGTAACAGCTCGTAAGAGTGTTGGTGAGACACTGAAATTGTATATCTATTTACAGCAAACCAGAGTGCTCTCAGTGAACCTGTGTTACACAAAAGCACACCATATACACGCATCTGTTAGTTTGTGCAGGAAAGAAAGAAAACCAACCTTTTTGTACAGTACAGCTATGTTATTACTATCAAAAGGCAGGTAGCCAGCCAACAAGACAAAAAGAATTACACCACAGGACCATACATCAGCCTTGGCTCCGTCATAACCTCTGTTGTGGAGTACCTGGAGAAGTGTCAAATTTAGGGAACAAGAACAAAGCAACTATTAGCTAAGAAATGAATATGAATGCAAGGAATCTAAAGTACCTCTGGAGCAATATAATTTGGGCTGCCACATGTTGTGTGAAGTAACCCGTCTCCCTAGAGCACGTAGAAGAAAGCTGTAAAAAGTGCAGAAAGTTTGCAGCTTCATGCTAGAAAATGAATGACCGAGCGAATTCTAAACAACTTGACCAAGATCTCATCATTACTCACACTGACTTGCTGAGGCAATGCACTCCATCCAAATCCGGAAACTTTAAGTACTTGAGAAGCATCTAGAAGTAGATTCTCAGGCTGATGAAAGACAAATGAATAAAGCCATCACCAAGAAAAGATTTGCAAGGAACTTTGAAGAAGAAAACATACAACATGTCCTGAGGGGAAAAGGACTCCAGTACCTTTAGGTCCCGATGATATACACCTCTACTGTGGCAAAAATCAACTGCAGTTACAAGCTGCTGAAAATACTTCCTTGCTGCAACTTCTCTCAGCTTCCCTTTTACCTGATGGTTAGAAATCAAACAAGAATTTGTTGGGTTCTTATTCATCGTGCCGTAATTTGAGAAGCAAAGTCAAGACTATATGTAGTACAAGTTTGTCGAAAAGTTCACCGCCAGCTGCGTATTCCATGACTATGTATATCCTCGTCTTGCTCGCCATCACCTGAAACGGAAGAGCTACAACACATTAACAGAGAAAGATGAAACATTTTTTCAGAAGTTGCAGAATTCAAATCCAATGGTCTCTTCCACAACTTTCTGTACCAACACCAGAAACAAGTTTAAAGTGCTCTAATTTCTAACCTCGTGCATACGGATGACATATGGGTGTCGACCATGCTTCATAATCGCGATTTCTCGCTTAACCTGAGAGATCATCTGCCGTTTGAGGACCACGTCCTTGTCAATAATCTTGATGGCGACATTCTCTCCGGTCTCGGTATTCCTGGCAAATTTGACCTTTGAGAAGGCACCCATCCCAAGCGTCTTCCCGAGCTCGTACCTTCCGACGCGCGTCTTGCTCCCGCTTCGACGTTGCCCTTGAGACCCCATATTTCAGCTCCCAGATGCTAATTTCTGGCTTGTGAAATTTGAAATTTGCGATGCGTTGACTCCCTCTTCTGTAAGCAGACTCCGGACAAAGAAGTAGCAGATCCGGCCACCAACTTCCCGGCGGCCGGGAAGGGTGAATCTGAGGTACGAGAAGTTCGCTTAATTTGTAGCCCTGATATTTTGCTTCATTTCATTGATCGGACACTGTCTGAATTGGAAGTTGGAACCTGGAGCTGGAAGGGGGAAATATTGGCGGGGAGGGACAGTAGGGAAAGTTAATCCGCTAACTTGAAAATTCGTTAGCAGATACTAACTGATATCCAAAATACATGAACTAGTATCCAAGTACTAAAGTATCTAGAGAGCACAGACTAGTATTCAAAGTTTGCTAACTGATATCCACCATGAATCAACTATTATCCCAAATTGCACCCTTCCCCTGTTCCAGCCTAGTTATTCTGCTAACTTGAAAATTCGTTAGTATATACTAACTAATATCCAAAATATATGAACTAATATCCAAATCTGCTGAGTATCTAGATAACACATACTAGTATTCAAAACATCACAAACTAGTATCCAGATAGCAGATACCAACTAATATCCACAATCAACCAACTAGTATTCAATATGGATACTCTTATGTGTTATCTGGATACTCTTAAGTGTTATCAGGATACTAATTATGTGTTATATGGATACTATTCTGTGTTGTCTAGATATTAGTTTGTGAATTTGGGATAATAGTTTATTCATGGTGGATATCAATTAGCAAACTTTGAATACTAGTCTGTGCTCTCTAGATACTTTAGTACTTGGATACTAGTTCATGTATTTTGGATATCAGTTAGTATCTGCTAACGAATTTTCAAGTTAACAGATTAACTTTCCCCGGAAGGGTGAGGAGGTGGTTTGGTTGGGCCGGTCGGTCGAATTTGGTTTGGTTCGAGGGTAGATATCGGGTAGTCGGTGATGGCAAAATAGAACAATAATTCAGATTTTTTTCCTCAAGGTTTGTTAATCGTGTAACGCAATAAAACTATAATCAAATTATTATGGGTTTGTTAATAGTTTTTGCTATCGATGTCATTTATTTATGACCATAAAAATTCTGTCTGAGACTTACTCTTTATTCACTGAACTTTAGATCTCATATTAATTCTATCGATAAAGTGAAAAGAACACGAATGTAAAAAAAATTTGATAACATGATTGCATTATGTTTTTATTATCTGATTCATCTTATTAAATATTATATATCACAAATAAAAACTGTACATCACATGGGAAATCTATATTAAGAAAGTGTATAATTGTATATTAGGGGGGTGGTATATATTTTGCTAATTCATCAATACACAAGCGTTTTGCTAATATTATGTACTTCACCAACATGAACCAATTCACTGCAGTCCACCCTTTACTCTGGAAAAGGCATAGCTCCTCCATGATTCTCCTGCATCATCCGAGTCCCGTATGAGTTTTTGTCAAATGGGTTCCGCTCATTCGAGAACTCTGACTACTGTCCCCAAAGAAGCACGTACACTAAGTGATGCAGTTTTACTTTCCTCTTCTCTGGTAGTAATTCTTGAAGTTAGACGGAAAGTGATCTCATTTTTCTCACTTCCCCGCGTACCTTTTCAACTTGTGCTTTCGACCTTTACGTTCCCTTCTTCCTTTCCTTCATCCACTGTTTTCCAAACAACATCCTTCAGTCCAGTCGAGATGCCCTTGTAAAACTGCACCACAAACAACAATGAACAAAGTCAATAATCAAGCTGCCAATACCAGCACTGGAATATATGGTTGACCGACCGACTGCAACTTTTAAGCAACATCGAACTCCGACTGAGGTTGTCAGAGCAGCCGCGTATTTCACCAATTGGAACAAGGACGAGATACCACATCAAACATTTGGAGAAATTATTGAAGAAATGCTGCCTGATATTAGTTTTGTCCAGATGGTTTAGCAAGCTAAGTGCCGTCCTCTTGTCGAGTTGACAACAAATCTCATGCGAACGAAACGTAATCAAATACCTTGTGGAATTGCAGGGCGTCACCACCAGACTTGCGAAGCTCAATCGTGAATTGAGAAGGAGCCACCTCAAAGATCTGAAAGGAAGACATGGGTCAGTGCCCCTCATAAAACTGAAGTCGGATCAAAGAACAGAACATTTTGACAGTGCTAAGAAAGTGCCTGCACTTACTTCAGCAGTAATTGACAGGTGACCTTTAGGTCCTGTCTCCTCTCCTTGAAGAGTCATCTAGGTTATAGAACAGAAGAGCCGTTAAAATTTTGGAAAATACCCACTTCTTATGGAAATTCCTTAAGAGAGAGAGAGAGAGAGAGAGAGAGAGAGAGAGAGAATATCGGACCTTCAAGTCATTCTTCTTCACGACAAAACGCAATGATGTTGCTGCTGCTTCAATTTGTGACATTATGTCATTAGCGGTTCTTTTCGATCCAAATCCAATTTCACTTTTACCAAGTCCCTAATTACGAAAGGAAGAATAAGTTTGATTCTGCTCCAAGCTATTACCAAAAAGGACCTAAACAACACCCAAAATCTATATGCTGGTGACATTATGATTACCCAACAATGGGATCAACTCATAGCTGATGAAGCTACCAAGGACAAAAGATCTTAGCAAACCAGGCATATCATCTGAAGCATATGGCTAATTACTAAGCAAGCGGACTGCGGACATATATATATCTAGAGACAAACAGAAACAAGCACATTGTCAAGAACACAAAGAAAGGAGTAACATTAAGGTTTGATAAGACTTAAACTTAAGGGGTGTGTTTCTTCATGATAATGTATGAGCAGAGCCTATTAAAACATACCATCTGCTTCTTGAATGGACTACTGATGTTGAGACTCTGAGATGTTGACATCAGTTCGGAAGGATTCATAGGAGCCACAACAAACTTCCGGGTGTCCTGTCCATTAACAGAAATGTAAATTTCAACTTTTCAAAATGTGATATACGACCATGCCCACATTGTGGAGGGTGAAGAACATAAGAACCTTACTGCTGAATCATTGAAGAAGGACTCCACATCATCAAGACTAAAATCAGCATGCTCAAAAACAGGTGGCTTATAATCTTTCTTAAACCACTCGCTTTCAATAATCTCAGCAATACTGATTCTCTGTTTCATTATCATAAGTAGATGAAGTAAATACACAAAACCTGGTGCAATGAATATCAACAAGGGAGCCAACAGAAATCAAAGACGTCATACCGTAGCTGGAGTGGGATCCAATATCCTTTTAACCAGTTCCTTTACACTACTGGAGAACCAAGGGGGACATTTAACATCAGCTTTAGTAATCTGCAATCAGATATTATCAGGTAACAACACGGACAAATGATGACTGCTTCCAATTTACAAGATTTTAACAGTTAGTAAGACTCTCGAACTGAATATCAATTTACACCAAGCCAGAGTGGTCTCACTTGACATGTGTTGATAAATCACCCTTATCAAACAAAAGTACACCATATGTATGCACCCGATGGTTTGCGCTGGAAAGAAAGAAAACAAACCTGTTTGGTCATTGCCATCAAGTTAGAATCATGAAAAGGAAGGTAGCCAGCCAACAAGAGAAAAAGAATCACACCACAAGACCATACATCTGCCTTGGCTCCATCATAACCTTTCTTGAGGATTACCTGGAGAAATGCACAATTAGTGAACGCGAAAAGCATTATGAACTAAGAAATGCAACCGAACCAAAGTACCTCTGGAGCAACATACGCAAGGGTGCCACATGTTGTGTGAAGTAATCCATCTCCCTAGAGGACGAAGAAGAAACATATAAGTTCTGAGAAATTTGCAGCTTCGTGCTAGAAAATGATTGAATGAGTAAATTCAGAACAACTTGAACATGAACCCATCATTACTCACGCTAACTTGTTGTGGCAATGCACTAAATCCAAAGCCCGAAACTTTAAGTACTCGAGAAGCATCTAGAAGCAAATTCTCAGGCTGATAAAGATATGGAATAACATACTCATCATAGATTCATCAGAAACTTGAAGCAAAAGATATACAACACATCCTGATGAAGGAAATAAAAAAGGACTAGTACCTTTAGGTCCCGATGATATACACCTCTACTGTGGCAATAATCGACTGCACTTACAAGCTGCTGAAAATACTTCCTTCCTGCATCTTCTCCCATCCTCCCTTCTGCCTGATGTTAAGAAATCAAACAAGAAAACAATGTGTTGAGTCCATGTTCTCTTTTTTTATAAGGGTGATATAGGTTTAATTTTTATTGTTTAGATACTACTTAAGGGATTCCAACACGAGACCTCCAAGTTCAAGACTAATGATATTAGTATTATTATCACCAGACTAAGCCTTGTTCGTGAGTCCATGTTCACTGTGTTTGGGCAAAGCAAAGTCAAGACCATACTTACTACAATTTCGTCAAAAAGTTCACCACGAGCGGCGTATTCCATGACTATGTATATCCTTGTCCTGCATGTCATCACCTGAAACAGAAGAGCTGCTGCACATTAGCAGAGAAATATTAAGAACTTTTCAAAAAGAAGAAAGGACAGAGGTGAAAAAACCAATCAAGTTTACAAAGATAACAAAGAAAATGCTACACGAGATTGATTCTCTTTCGAGTTTAACAGCATGAGAAAGATAACTAGACCAGAAATTGCAGAAATCCAATCAAGTTTCAATCCAATGGCCCCCTTCCACCAAACAAAACACCTTCTGAACTAACAAACAGAACAAGAGTAAAAAAATGGCTCTCTGAGCTAACACCAGAACAAGGGTAAACAAGGGCTCAAATTTCTAACCTCGTGCGTACGGATGACATTTGGGTGTCGAAGATGCTTCATGGTCACTATTTCTCGCTTAATCTGAGTGATCATCTGACGTTTGAGGACCTTTTCCTTGTCAATAATCTTGATGGCAACATTCTCCCCGGTCTCGGTATTCCTGGCAAACCTGACCTTTGCTAAAGTTCCCAGCCCAAGCAGCTTTCCGAGCTCGTACCTCCCGATTCGCGGCTTGCTCCCACTTCCACGTTGCCCTTGAGACCCCATATTTTTGCTCCCCCACAGTTAATTTCGACTTGTGGAGTCTGAATTTGCGATGCGTTGACTCCCTCTGTAAGCAGGCTCCGGAGAAAGCGGTATCACCGGCGGCGGACGGCGAATCTGAAGTACGAGAAGTTTGTTCAATTTGTCGACCTCGTATTTTGTTTCATTGATCGGGCAGTGTTTTTGGCACCTGGATTCCTCGTGCTTGCAGACGGGAAGGGGAAAATAGAATGTTGGCGGGGACTGTAGGGGTGGGAGTTGGTTGGACCGGCAGGTTGGAGTTGAAGGTTTGGTTCGAGGGTACGTCCTGGGTGGTTGGGTTGGGTTGGATTGTAGGGGTGTTCAAATGGTTACCATGGTTATTACCAAACCAAATAAGACTAAATTTCATTAACCATAGAATACAATATCATAACCAAACCGTCCAAACTAATACAACAACCAAATTAACCAAATTAAAGTTTAATCGGTTTGGTTAATTGGTTAACCAGATTAACCAATATAAAATCACATTATCATTAAGTGAGAAAATTTCGGTTAATTTATCAATTCACAATTTATATAATGAATAAAACATAACTATCAACACATAGTTATAGTTGACCCTTAACATAAATACATGCAACTAAAACAATTATCTTACGGTTAGTGTAGAAGTATTCACCTAATAAAGATTTATCACAATGGTATGGGTTAATGTATTTTTGTGTTTGTTTGAATTGACTTAGTCTTTTAGCAATTTTCATAGGCTGAAAAGGATTTCAAGTTTTCATCCAACATAATGTATGAGATTTATCTAAATTAGGCGTTCATATGTTGTGGTCTACACTCTACGTATACAAATATACATTATAGGAGCAATATCAAACTTTATATTTTATGAGTCTAAAAGGGATGAACGTTTAACTCTTGAGTGGTTATTCAAAGTATTAAGTATGTGTATATATTAGATATATGGCTAATTATTTATCTGGTTAATTTGATTTGGCTGGTTAAGAGTGTCTGAAACCAAACCAAACCACTTAAACCAAACAAGCTAAAAACTTTAACCAAACCAAACCAATTATCCAAATTAACCAAACCAAATTATCCAAATAGTACTGGTTAAAACGGTTACCATGGTAACCACACCGTTTGAACACCCCTATTTGATTGGATGCCATTATGCCAACAAAGTTTGTTTATTGCTACATCACTCGAGATAAATTTGAGTAATTTGTCTGAGTAACAAGTTTTGTTCTTCCAAATTTAATGAGGACAATATAAGAGAATTATGAGATTTTTTGTATGAAAATTTGTTGGAGAGCATTCTTCGTTACAAATTGTTTGTGTTTTTTGTTAATGAAAACATGTTCTTTAACCTCGATAATCAACTATTAAAACGATTATTTTTGTTAATTGAAAACATGTTCTATAACCTCACTGTTAAAACGATCATGCAAGTTTACAAAACACAATCCAAAACAAAAAGTTAACTTACTAATGTGTCGGGTTTGGAGATTGGAGATTGTTTCATTCTTGTTAAACTATACATTATAGATAGGGAGATCGAGGCTGATTGGGTTGCGAAACACAAAAACCATGAGATCCTTTTCGAATCAAGGTGAAATTCAATAGGTTGCGAATACATATTAATCTGCTTAACATATGATAATATTCATATATCATCACGTCACATTACTCTACATGATTCTAGTTGCACGAATACTGAACTAGATCAACAGGATCCTCACATTGGCTTCTGCTTGCATTCAAATCTCAACAAAAAAACGAAAGAAAAACTCAAAATCCAGTCGATCAATTTCTCCATCTCTCGTCAAAAAACTCAATTCCTAAAAAACCATAGTACTTCGTGAGATTCAACCTTTATAACTTGCTATGAGTGGATCAAGTTAATTACCATTGTTGATCAATTTGCTCCACCAAATCATTTTGATTATGTCATCTCACTCAAAGTTAAATGACTTCTCGAACCATGCATTTTAGCGACTATGGGAGCCGAGGACGATAACTCGGCATGCGCCGTAACCATCCATGCAGCTTGAAGACTGAAACAACACAAACAACTTTCTTGGGGTTTGAATTTTGATTTGTTTATTGAATTCCAATTTCCAAGTTAGGTAAGTGGTCAAGTGTGTCAAATATGACATTGTTGATATGGACCGGGTAGCAACACTCTTCCTCCACCTAACTTTTTATAAGCTACACTTCGTGTATAGGTCTTCAATAAAAACATATTTTAGTAGTGATGGCAAATAGGATCATAATATCTCTGTCCGAATCCGATCTAATTATATTTAATTAAGTTTGAACTCAGAGGATTTTTAATGGGTATATATAAAACTCGAAGTCGAATATTGAGGCTGATATGTGGACATGATTTTTTTATTATCCAACCTCAACTTGTTCGATTATATAGATGGATATTTATTTTGTTTACAAATAATCATTATTTTCTTAACATGTCCGAAAATGTGTTGTTTTTTACTAATTTCTCGCTCTGGTAATTTATTGTTGTACCCTTTTCACTTATGCAATGTGAGTATATATATGTGTAATTCTTAACATGTTGGTTAAAATTATAAATATAATTATTGCACATGAATATAATTGTGGATACCCAAAACTCGATCGAGTATGAGTATGGTCTTTATACCCTACCCCATTGTTGTGTGGTATGAGTGGAATTAAAATCCGGATAATTTTGGACAGGGTAATGAATATGCAGTATCCGCTCCTGAATGGATTCGTTGTCATCGCTACTGCCAAACAATTCAATTCCCTGAGGCTTGAAAAAAAAAACACATATTAATTAGGCTCCTGAGTTCATACATTACCTCATTGAGGAATGGGAAGAGAGTAAATAAAGACAATGATTCGAATCGATAAGTTGAGAGAATTTCATGCATTGATGAGATTTAATGATAGCATTCTTCATCCGACTCACACGTTGTACACGATCCAAAAGAGTTTTAACGAGTGTCTAACAATCACAAAATAATGTGATTTGCTATTCCGAAGAAACCCACAGTCTCCCGAGCAACAAGGAAGGGTTTGCAAGTTGCAACTATATATATGGTGTTTTATATTAGAGTTTTGATGCAATAATAATGCTAGAGAAGGGTGTTTGATTAATAGAACTGCTTAATTTGCTAATTAGATTGATTAGATTGTGAAAAAAAAACTCAAAATATGTATGTGAATACAAGATATTTAAGATGGTTAAGAAAAAGTATCTGCCTACAAATGTCTTTTGTTTCACTACAAGTTATGACAGTAAATCCAATTTAAGTGACAACCTCTAGCCTGTCATTGCCAGACATAAACGAGTCGGAAACGTAGTTATTTTATGTTAATGCCACTATTCTTATAAAAATAAAAAATCCTTTGGCCGCCTGTAATTGAAGGATCTTTTGTCTTGCTCTTTACCCTAGATTCATGTATTTGTTTGATACCAACAGATACTAAAAGAAGAAATTCCACATAGTAATGACAGTGGATTAAAACATAAAATTCTATGTTATATAATTTTTTGACAAATTTATAAAATCTAATGATCTTAATTTTCTAACAAATGTAAAGATTTTGTATATAGATTGGTCGGATGATTTTTTTCCATTAGATGTCAACAATTACGGTTATTAAATTTTATAAAAACCTCAATGTTCACAATCTAGGAAATAAAAATTTAAAAAAAAAATGTTTAGACCATAAAATATCAGCGATTAGGTTTACCAAATTAAACCCGGGTTTACGCCCTTGTTAGCCCGCTAATTCGCTGAATGATTGCTTTTCACGCGTAATTAACATATGAATCGTCGCCGACAAATTTCCCAATTGTTGCCTGGCCTGGTTGACCGCCGCTGCATGGCAATTCCTCTCCAATATAATAAACTGAAACTTCCCGCCGGCCGGAATTGACTCCTCTTCCTCCTCCTCTTCCATTCATAAACCAAAAACCCATCATAATACCAGAAAATTTCATCACAACCCAGTTTCTCCCCCCCACCAACCTCTCTCACCAGTTTTCCCTCCGGCGCCATGCATACTCTGCTCGCCGGCGTCGCAATCCTACTCCCCACCTTCCTCCTCCTCCGATTCCTCGCCACCACATCAATCCGCCACATCGTCATCCAATCCTGCCGCGCAATCGCCGACCGTCTCCACCTCCACCAAACCTACACCGTCCCCCAATTCGACCCAACAACCCTCCTCCCAAATCCGCTCTACTCCAGAGTCGCCGCCTACCTCTCCTCCCTCCAACACGCCGATTCCTCCGCCGCCGCCACCAACCTCCTCTCCGGCTCCAACCCTTCCCACGACATCATCCTCTCCCCGGACCCCAACCGCCACGTCATCACCGACCGATTCCTCTCCGCCCTGCTCTCCTGGTCCAACCACCCTGCTTCTTCCCCTGCCTCCGGCTGCAAATTCGTCCTCTGCCTCCGCAAGAAGGACAAGCGGCGGATCCTCCGCCCCTACCTCCAGCACATCCTGTCCGTCTCCGAGGACGTCGGCAGGGAGATCAAATCATTCACCACCCACTTCGCCCCCTCCGCCGCCGCGGCCGAATCCCCGTGGAGGGCGGTCCCGTTCGCGCACCCTGCCACGATGGAGACGGTGGTGATGGACGCGGATCTGAAGGGGAAAGTGAAATCCGACCTCGAATTGTTTCTGAAATCGAAGCAGTACTACCACCGCCTCGGCCGCGCCTGGAAAAGGAGCTACCTCCTCCACGGCCCACCGGGGACGGGGAAATCGAGCTTCGTCGCCGCCATGGCGAGGTTCCTCTGTTTCGACGTTTACGAAATCGATTTTTCGAAATTCGCCGACGATTCGGATCTGCTCAAGCTACTCTCGCAGACGACTCCCAGGTCGGTGGTCGTGATCGAGGATCTCGATCGGATTCTGGCGAATTCGTCGGGGAATTTGAGTTTGAGCGGATTGTTGAAGTTTATGGATGGGATTGGGTGTGAAGAGAGGGTGATGATTTACACGATGACTTCAAAGGAGGGAATTGACCCATCGGTGCTGCGGCCGGGGAGAATCGACGTTCAGATCCATTTTCCCCTTTGTGATTTCCCGGCGTTCAAGGCCCTGGCCGGAAATTACTTGGGTGTGAAGGAACACAAGCTGTTCCCGCAGGTGGAGGAGGTGTTTTTGTCGGGGGCGAGCTTGAGCCCTGCGGAGATCGGAGAAATCATGATCGCGAACAGGGGATCGCCGAGCCGGGCGCTGAAATCGGTGATCACGGCTCTCCAGGCCGCCGACGCCGCCGCGAGCGACGCTCGGGCGGTTCGGTTGATGAGGGAGAGCAGAGCGTCGGCTCTGCCGCCGACGGCGGCAGCAGCAGCAGCAGCAGCAGGGGATGACGGCGGAGGAGGAGTGTTTTGCAGGGAGAGCGTCCACACGGTGAGGGAGTTCAGGAAATTGTACGGGCTGTTGAGGATCGGTAGCCGGCGGAAGGAGGAGAGCTCTGTTCCTTCGTCGGAATTGGGCGGCGGCTCCGGCCCGCTGGAGAAGGAAGGGAGAATCGAAGGAGGTGGCGCGAAATCTTAGTATATTCGTGATTTTGCATAAAATCGTGCAAAGCCAAGGATTATAGATTACATTAAATTGAAAAAAATTCATATACATGTGTAGAGAAGCAATAATCTCATTCAAAAAAGGATTATTGTTAGGCATATATGTTTAATCATATTTGTAGATTATGATTTGATAACAAAAACCGAACTTCAATTTACGCATTGAATTAGAGATGTAATATAAGTTTATAATGGGTAATGATTTCATTTAGAGTGCATATAGAGGTAACCTAAGAACAAACTGAACGTAATCGATGTTGCAGTTTTGGTTTTGTAGGAAATATTTCTTATTATTGTTCTATGAATTTTGTATCTTATACGTTTAGTGATGCACTTACGTTTCTATTAATTGAATTATCCGTTGTATTTTATGCATACAACTATATCTAAACTTGATGGTGGATCATCTTATTGAGATTATTATGCGATTATTCTTAATCAACCCTTTATTTTTATGAATTCTCTTAAAAAGTAAAAAGAATTTAATCCGAACCAAAATTGACTCATCAAACTCGAACCAAAATTGATGGTCGTTTATTTATTCTCTATATTGAACCGGTCATATCCTATAACCGGACCGCGGACCGAAATATTTGCCCTAATTAAAGTTACCATTCGGACATCGAACCAGTGGAGACGGGGCGGGCGCTAACTGCTGGAGCTTAGCGGGACTCGGCACGGCAGTAGTATTCATCTTCCAACTCCCCAACTGTTCCTCTAAAGAACGAACCAACTTCCTTTGATCGGCGAGATCAAAAGTTGCTCTCGTTCGCTTTTCCGGCTACTTGCAGTATCTCGCGGTTGTCAAACCTCTAAAGTCTCACTCGCTGGCCCGAGTTCGTTCCGATCAGCCCTGGGTTCATTTGCCCTCGCAGTTCTTCCAAGGTACGGAACTTGATCCGCAGTTCTTATTTCAATCTTGCTACTCACGGTTTCTGCATTTCGTGTTCCCAATTGATCATCGCCTCCGCGATTGCGTCCAATTGATCGATCGTTGGAGCGATTGCTTCCGTTCGAAGAAGATTGTTGTGTTAGGGATTTCTTTTTTCGCGGCATTTCAGAAACCCTTTCCCTGTCAGCTGCTGCTGTTGAAGTTGACTTCCATATTCGACCCCTTCACTTATTCCCCCGTTTTCTTTGCAGGTGGCTAGGGATTCTTAACGGGCATTGTATTGTGATAGAAAGCATGGTAAGCGTCCCGTGCTCAATTGTGAGACTTGTCATCTGGGTGTGTTTCAGTTTGCCAGTCTTGTACTGATAGTCAATCCTTTTGTCCCCCAGAATTACATTATTGGAGCTTTCAAGCCCGCATGTAATATAGCAATCACATTAAATGATGCGAAGATGCGGAAACAGGTATGACTGACTTTCTTTGTGCTGTTAGTGGAGTTTCAACATAGTTTTGATTGATGATGGAAGGAAAAAGAGCATAATTCTGACTGAAGAGGTGGAGGCAACTTGCATTTGATTGATTTGCCATCTACTTTCTTTTTTTGCATAGGTTCCTGTGAAGAAGGAGAATGGCCAAACCATTATGACTCCACTCTTTCAGAGCCAAGAAAGTGTTGCTGGCAAGGTGCATGCACCAGTGTCTTATCATTAACTTTGTTCTTAGCATTGTGCTTTGGATCTTATCATGGTCCAATGCAAGATTGGTTACCTGAATTCTCAAGGAGCTTTTGGATTTGGGATTGTTTTAGGTTGTTATTGAACCACCTCAAGGGAAGAAGGTCGAACACAATGGTGTTAAGGTTGAGCTTCTTGGTCAGATTGGTGAGTTTTGTAACTTCACCTTATTTTTGTCCTTATAATTACAGATGTCAGAGAATGTGAAATTTGGGCATCTTCCTTGGGTCCTATATTCTTTAGCTTGCACTCTTCTGGGATTGTAAATTGATAAACAACAGATAGCTTTGTCATTGTTATTCTTCTTTGACATTATGATCACGGACAGGGTATTCTTAGATTGATAGATGGTGACACTGTTGTGGACCTTTTATCCACTAAATTATTTGAGTGGCCTCTAGGTGATACAGACAGGATTGAGGGTGCCTTCCTAATCCTGTCTCTGTGGAAATTAAGTTCCTGGTGTTCTTTATTTTCGGCTGAAATTATCTGCTAAGCCTTGCCTTGCCATGGAGCCCTTGAAATAACACTTGGTTTTGATATTGTTTTGATTTTTTCCTTTAAAAAGAAAAATATACTGTGTATGAGTGCCAGTAACAACATTTCAGCTGCTTTCGTTTTGTAGAAACTGCTGATTTGGGGTTCTGAGAAAGTATAGGGTGTAATTGGAAGTTGAAATTTCTTGTTGTATTCCAAAATATTGTGTTTTCAAGTCATTCGAATGTTTGGTCTTGGCTTTGCTTTCCTTTACTGGGCTTTGATAGAGCTGGTTATCTAGTGCCAGGCTAGTAAGAAAACAAAGATAGCCTCATGAGGTTGACCTAGCAGTAATGCAGATGCAAACATCTAACCTGTTACAGGTTCAAGACCTTGGAGCTAACCGTCAACTATAAAAAGAACAATAATGATAACTAGTTAATTTGCGGAAGAGTGTTTATCATGAAACATCATTGGAGAAGGCTTTGTTCTGCGTCTTGCGACATTGGCAACAATCGTTTTCTCAGCAGTCAGCTGTGCATCGTTTGTTATTTTATGTCTGATAATGTTCTCTACTCTTGTCCGATGGTAACTAGTTTTCTTTTATTTTTTGCTGCTTTGCAGAGATGTACTTTGACAGGGGCAATTTTTATGACTTTACCTCTCTTGGTGAGTACTAGTCTTTTTTTTCATACGTTATTCCAAGATCCATGCTCATTCTTACCTTGTCTCTGCTTTTGAATTGGTAAAATGAAAGGTCAATCATTCTGTCTACTTTGATGATTTTGGCTTAAGCAAATCATTGGTGATGTATGAATGGTCGTTCATCCCTTTTATGCACTACTTGCATGTATAGAAGATGTGCCTGCATTTGTGTATGGCACACTCGCGGTAGAACTCCAGGATGGAAATTTTAAATGAGATATGGAATACAGCCTGACAATGATTCCTAGTCGCTTTGGTTGATAACTGCATGCCACTCTGACATGGTGGAACAATTGATTGAGTCGAATCATATGAGCTATGCTCTTGCACTATTTCTACTACCATGCTTGAAATCGAAGAATTCTTTGTTATTAGCTTGATGAAAAATTACAGGACATAAAATTTGTTTGGAATGCCAATTCTTAATGTACAATCATTGGTAGTTTGAACTTTTCGGATGACTTGATTTCTTGCTTGTTGGCAGTACGTGAACTGGAGGTCCCTGGAGAATTATATGAAAGGAAAACATATCCTTTTGAATTCTCCACAGTAGAAATGCCATATGAGACGTATAATGGGGTGAATGTAAGGCTGAGGTATATTCTTTATTTATTTACTCTGGAGATGAATTGCTTCACTTGCGAATTGATTAAAGCTGGAGTAAATTCACGTTTGAGAAAGATTGCCTTGAAAGAGGTAGAATAAGACCTTGTAGGTTATGGTTGCTTCTTATATTGCTCTCTTTTATCTTTTATGTTACAGGTATGTTCTGAAAGTGACTGTAAGTCGAGGTTATGCCGGGAGCATTATTGAATACCAGGACTTTGTGGTAATCTCTCTCTCTCTCTCTCTCTCTCTCTCTCTCTCTCTCTCTCTCTCTCCCTCCCTCCTTCAAGCACACTTGACTTTCTTGACTGGTTTTTAGTGAATTCTGTCCCTTTGGTATGAAATTAGGGAGGTGAAAGTTTGCTGAAAATGGGAATTGGATTTTGAGAATAGTGTGAGTTGTTTAGAAGTTGATGTTAGTAAATGGTTACAGCATAGTTTGGGAAGAAAAAGCGACGATGTAAAGCCTGAAGTATAAGTTGTTTGAGCAATAATTTCCTGAACAATATTGTTTCATTCTTAGTTTATGCAAGAACTAAAATTGAGGAATGGAAAGAGGAAAAAGAAATGGCTCAACATTATTCCAGGAAATGGGGTGACGGTTGAGAGGACGTGGAATTGGTTTGCTTTCAACTGGATTCATCTTCTCCTAAACAATGAACTCCTGGGTTCACCTTTGTCTTGTTTTTTTGCTTTATACTATTGTTATTCTGCATGTGATCAAGTTCACTGATATAGCAAGTTTCTGTTCCAGGTACGGAACTACACTCCACCTCCACCTGTTAACAACACTATCAAGGTTAGTGGTGTATCTAGAAATGCACAGGGAACAGATGTCACTGTTTGTTTCCCAACTGCCCACTATGATAGATGACTTCAGTTGAACTGGTGTTTTTCTCTAATACATGGTGGAAGCCTGAAGGATAGGCTAGAAATTTAGTGATGATGGTCCGAAGTTTGTTTATTTTAATATATATTCTAGTGCATGGCAATTATATCCATGTTCACTTATGCAGATGGAAGTTGGAATTGAAGATTGTCTACATATTGAGTTTGAGTACAACAAGAGCAAGTAAGTCATTTTATCTTTACACATGGTCTTGGTCAGTCTTGCTTGTGGTGCTCGTGATCCAGTACTGGGCACCGTCGAGCTTTCCTGTTTATGGTTGTTGAATTATATTAAGGAGGTGTCAGCTACTAAAACACAAACAAGGGTATTGGTGGTATAGCAGATTCACAATAGATTTTTCATAGATAATTGCGATGATGGGTCTGAAAATACAACATGCTGTAAACCGTATGAGGGTATTAGTGATAATAATTTTGGTGAAATCAGCTGGATTAACTTTTGAGTGGATACACATAGTAGTCGTGTTTAATGATCATTGGGGCCTAATTCTTTGTGCAGGTATCATCTGAAAGACGTGATTATTGGTAAAATCTATTTTCTCCTTGTGAGAATCAAGATAAAAAATATGGACCTTGAGATCAGGCGCAGAGAGTCGACTGGGTCAGGGGCGAATACCCATGTTGAGACAGAGACTCTTGCTAAGTTTGAATTGATGGATGGAGCTCCTGTTCGGGGTATGTTCAACTTTCTTTTCTAAAATAATTCTCGCTTAGTCGAAACAAGATTCTTACTACAAGGGCATCAAAATCCCTAGCGCTGTTGAAAAATGTCTACAAACTAAAAAGAAGTTCCAAGGAGTGGAGAAAAACAAAAAATGAAAACAGATTTACACTGAAATTTGGAAACTATATGCATAAGTTTTAGTTTTATTTTGAAGTTCAGATATAGCGTGATTTGATTTGAATATTTGATGCATTTGGTGTTGTATTGTGACTTCTCTATAGGTGAATCAATTCCAATCAGACTGTTTCTAAGCCCATATGAACTGACACCGACGCACCGCAATATTAATAACAAGTTCAGTGTGAAGTATTATTTAAACCTTGTTCTGGTGGATGAAGAGGACCGTCGCTACTTTAAGCAGCAGGAAATTACAATATACAGGATGCAAGAAGGCTCCTGATGAAAGGCAGCCACACTCGGGGATGGTGAAGGTTTTATCAGGATATATAGAGATTAACTTCCGTTTGACAAAATTGTAAAGCTTTTCTTCAGTCACAGTTGAAAGCTAGTTGTGGGCTTTGGGCAATGATCCTGTCTCTGCTGGAAGCTGCTGGTGTAGTACTTCTTGTTTGCAAAATCTATCTAACCTTGTGACGTGGTTCGTGCAAGCTCGGCTGTGTGGCAGAAGTTGAGACTTGTCTCGTTGCTTCTACACTGGAAAATGCTAACCTTCATTAGAGATCATTAGGGCGGGTGATGCTAAGTGTTTCTAGTGGTTTAGGATGATGTAGCAGAGATCTATTTATTATGCTGTGGTTATGCAGAAATTGGGTTATTTTCACAAATCACAAGCTTGTAAGTGTACAATGGGGGGTAATTATGCTTTGCTCGATTCGCGCTGAATTTGGTTGTGGGAAGGGCTTACACTTCGAAGCATTTGGTGAATGGATGGCTTCCTGGATTATGTTCTGCGTTGTGTTTGGTTTGGCTTTCTAGGCTTACCGAGTTGTGGCTACCAAGTTGTACTCCGGGAAAGTATTGTTTGGTTTGATACATTCCTGACACAGATTTGCTGATAAAACGGTGTAAAAGGACATGTATTGGCCAACTCGCTTCTCTCTAGTGATTTTCAAGTGCATTCCATCATTTCGGTGCATTCGAGTGTTTTCGAAGAAATCCAAATGCCTTCAAGTATCGCCTAGCCATGTATTGCTTCCTAATCAGAATCCAGCCGTGTTTTCGAAGAAATCCAATTCACACATTGTAAACATAGAGGAAGAGGAAAAACAAAGGATTGACAGATAAAACGAAATTGATTTCTCAGAATCCAGCCGTGTTATTGTTTCTGCAACAACAATGAATTTGGATGCAGAACGAACAAAAGCGCTACAAAACATACATACATTCATGAAATCATGATAACCCTTTTCCTAATCAGGTCATAAAATTAGGAATTTCGTGCCAGCAACACAGTGCATAAATAATTAACAAGAGCCTGAACTTGAACGCCCCGCCAAGCCAATGTGGACATAATTCAGATTCTTCCAATTAATTCCCATTGAGGAAAGCTTCTGTAATTAACGTTCCAAAGCACCAGCCTTGAAGCCGTTTCATGCACTTATAATTCTCTTTTGACCGGTAATTAATACAAAACTCCGCACTTAAGCACATCTAATCATTCATTCAAATGAAGAAAATGAATAGCATACCAATCTCCTAACCCAATGTGTAGGCAATTAAGCAAGAAAGTGACAGTTTATGCAGCTTGCTGCTTTATTGGCCGGACCTCTGAAAATGAAATGTATATATATCCTCTCCATCGCCACTCAATCACATATCATTTCTCCCATCCACCACCAAACCACAACAATGGCTTCTTCTTCTTCTTGTTCCATCTCCTCAGCAACTTGCCTTTCTCTCACTCTGTTTCTTCTCTTCTCATGTTCATTCTCGGCTGCTCTGCGGCACCAGCCATCATCACCTTCTCAACTGAAGCTCGTTTCTCCGGCAGCAAAAGGAGCAGGGCAGGCGGAAAGGATGATTCGGTCCCTGAATTTGTTCCCGAAGCACGAAGCCAACATCGTCTCGAACGATACTTCGGGCGACGATGATGTTCATCAGCAGCGAATCAGCGAGAAGCGGTTCAGCTTCAACGTCTCCGGCGGCCCTGGCCCGTCTATTCAGCAGTTCGGTCACTACGCCGGTTACTACTCCCTTCCTGACACCAAAGGCGCCAAGTAAGTGGACAGAACAGTAACGTAACGACTATCTAACGACAGTCAAAATCGCGAATTAAAACTTTCAATCAAATCTTTCTGACACGTTTTGGTTGTAATAGGATGTTCTATTTCTTCTTCGAGTCGAGGGTGAACAACACCAATGCCCCCGTGGTAATCTGGCTGACCGGCGGGCCAGGTTGCGCCAGTGAGCTTGCGTTGTTCTACGAAAATGGTCCGTTCAAGATTACAGAGGACATGGCTCTGCAGTGGAACGATTATGGTTGGGATCAGGCGTCCAACATTTTGTACGTCGACCAGCCGACGGGGACAGGGTTCAGCTACACGACCGACGACAGTGACATCAGGCACGACGAGACCGGCGTCAGCAACGATTTGTACAACTTCCTTCAGCAATTCTTCAAAGGGCACTCGAAATACGCGGGAAATGATTTCTACATCACCGGAGAATCGTACGCCGGTCATTACATCCCTGCTCTGGCTTCCAGGATTTTCAAAGGGAATCAGAACAAGGAAGGAATTCACATCAACATGAAGGTACAAACAATTCAAATTTAACTTACTGGGTTAGTTTCTTGATCAAATGGGTTCTTAAAATTCTTACCAAAGTTTGTTTCTTGACAGGGATTCGCAATCGGAAATGGTCTCACCGACCCTGCATTCCAGTACAAAGCCTACCCTGAATTCGCCCTCGCCGCGAAACTAATCTCCCAATCCGACCGCGATTCCATCGCCAGCGAACTCGTCCCGCCCTGCGAATCCGCAATTGCAGAGTGCAGCCCTGACAGCGAGGATTCCTGCGAGGAAGCGCTCTACACCTGCAACCAAATCTTCCAGTCCATTCTCCAGATCGCCGGCAACATAAACGTAAACCCTAAAACACAAAATTCAATCCCATTAACAGAGTAATCAAATTCCTATTTCTTACCTTGAAACCAATTTTCGCGCGCCGTTGCAGTACTACGACATCAGGAAGCAGTGCGAGGGCCAGCTCTGCTACGACTTCTCGCGAATGGAGAACTTCCTGGGCGAGGACACCGTGAAATCGGCGCTGGGAGTGAAGGACGACATCGACTTCGTTTCCTGCAGCAGCGAGGTCTACGACGCGATGATGGGAGACTGGATGATCGACTACGAGACCGGGATCCCGGCGCTGCTGGAGAGCGGGGTGAAGGTGCTGATCTACGCCGGTGAGTACGACCTGATCTGCAACTGGCTGGGGAACTCGAACTGGGTCAACGGCATGAAATGGTCGGGGCAGAGGAAGTTTCAGGCGGCTCCCAACGTGCCGTTCGTCGCCGGAAATGCGAAGTCAGGGGAGCTGAAGAGCTATGGACCGTTGTCCTTCTTGAAGGTGTACAATGCCGGGCATATGGTGCCCATGGATCAGCCCAAGGTGGCGCTGCAGATGTTGCAGGGGTGGATGCAGGGGAAGCTTGCCTAGCTAGTTTGATGACGATTGGTAAATTGCCCCAGAACCAAGGAGGAAGAGATCTCTTCTTTTGAGGATGGAATTTGCATATGTGAATTACTATAGATGATGTTGATATATTTCAATCATGATGAAATTGTATGTGATTTGTACAAGAGAAATTGATGTATGTAATGTATAAAGGAAATAACTTGGTTGTGGTTATAACTTGTAAGGGTTTTATGATGTTTATAGAGTGCGCATGTCAAATTATCGGGAACTAAACTATGAAATGAGTTAAGTCGATCAACTTATACTTTCGAGCCTAATAAGAAAGGTCATGCAAGTTGACAAATTCAATTTTATTAAATTTATATTGATCGAACGGACTATGAAGAAGTTTGTTGGTAGTTTAAATTCGGGTCTTGATGGTAGGGACGTAGGGTGACAGACGCCGTCGTGGGCGGGAAGATGATTCAAGCTATGTGAAAAGATGACAATAACATTGCATTGTGTTCGACCTTGGATCAGTGTCGTATTAAGCCACGTGAGTGGGAGCGACAAAGAAAAATGCCATTGAAATTAGAATTGTATAAGATGTCGGACATAATCGAAGAGTTGTTATGTAAACGAAAATCAGAAGTTAATTGATTACATGACGATATGTCGGTAACAACAACATCGCAATTCATAAGCAACAACTGAAAGATAAAAATGAACAAAAGAAATTGAATGTCGAGGAGGGGTAAGTGAAGTAAAAGGAAGCTTTATAGTGCAAATAAACTATCTATATTCGAGAATTAGATAGATGTCATATGGAATTTTGAAGTTTCTATTCATTTGATACTTTGGAGAAAATAGATAATTTCAGTGACCATAAGGTAATTCACCCTAGTGTAGGGTTTCGTACCCCAACAGAACGACACCGTATTGCTCGGCGGCCAAAATTGGCGCTTCAGTTCCCGCCGTGGTTTGTGGTTTAGCGGTTACCGCGGTCGAGAGAGACGCAGGAAGAACAATTCGAGAACCTGGAAGCGAACAGAGTGGAAGCCATGTATTGTTTGGTGCAGTTGGAGCTCGAGGGCTGAGTTGCTTCAGCTTCAGGCATTTGATAATACGTTCTCAAACTCCGACTCCGAGATTTGCTCTTCAGCCGAGCTGTTTCTCGACCTCAACGCCGAAGAAGCGAGTTGGCACTCACAACGGCCGCTTTCAATGTGACGAAGCCCTCGCTTGCTTCATGATTCGCCTCGCCGATAAGTTCTCCGGCGCCGAAATTGTCCGCACTAGGGACCCTAAGGTATTTAAACGACAACTACAGGTTCCAAACAGTTCCCCACTCTTTCTCCCAATTCAATCGCAATACGGAATGTAGTAATTCGTCGATTGAAGTTCTTTTGCACCAATTTCAATTGCTATTCCGATTCTCCTCAAGGTTCTGGAAACGCTGGATGCGGTGGTTGATGTGGGAGGTGTGTACGATCCGAGTCGGGATCGCTATGATCGTCACCAGAAGGGATTCGACCAAGTGTTTGGCCATGGGTTTAACACCAAACTCAGCAGCGGTGGCCTCGTCTACAAGGTTTTACTTATAAACCCCTGCCCTCGTTAAATCCATGAAATGAAGTTGGAAATCTAGCTGTGGAACTTAGGGAAAGTGTTTGGTTAACCTTTCAGCACTACGGAGCTCACATAATTGCAAAGGAGCTTCAGCTGGATAAAGGCGACTCCGACGTACATCGTTTATACCTATCCATTTACAAGAACTTTGTCGAGGTACTTCAAAAGATGTGATTTTTACCGTTCCCAACCGATTAATGCAACTATGGAACTTCTTGTTTCGAGCTTCTGTTGCTTCAAGTTTAATTGAGACTTGGTGCCATGTGGTAGGCAGTTGATGCAGTTGACAATGGAATCAATCAGTTTGACAGTGATGAGCCTCCTAGGTATGCAAACAATACGAGCTTATCAAGTCTGGACTGGACAGAACCTGATCAATCTTCCGAGAAAGAGAATGCAGCGTTTGGATGTGCCATGGGGCTTGCTGGTTGTGAATTTTTAGAGGTTTGAACTTCCCTTTGATCTTAACTTAGTTTCAGTTACCAATCTAGCTGCTTCGAGAACTTTGTTATCTTGGGTGAATTTGAGTGACAGCAACAAGTTAGGGAAGCTGATTAACAATGTTTATGTGTTGAAGAGTATTCGCTTCCATGCAAAATCTTGGTTGCCAGCTCGATCACTGGCTGTGTGTTTGCCCATGCAAGTGGGTTTAACATGACAGGACTCTTATTAGGAACCTTTTTGCCGATGATTTGTTGGAGAGAGGTACAATCCTTCAATTGCACTTGTGTTTTTGGCAAGGAAATTCTTTGCTTTTTTCCCTGATTGAATTGTTTCACGAAGATCTCCCATTTCGAACCAGAACAAGCTGTCACATTTATTCATTATAGATGTGGCTTCAAGAGCTTTTGCTTTTTCGAAACATTTTATACTTGAATGACATATTTCCTATTCAAGAAATATTCCATCCTTTTCTTTTGCTCTTCAGCTGACATGTTATTTTCCTGGAGTTGCTCCAATAAATGAACTAGTTACTTGGATTTATTCCCCCCTGAAATCTAGGGGAATGATGAACAGACATTGAATTGTCATTTACATAAGATCTTCAATTCTAGGATACACCAGCCCAATAACCACCAGTCTGTTAATTTGTCAGGATACAGGAGCATTAACCTTCTTTTGCTAGGTGGTGCACAACTTCTCGCTTGTCATGAAGCACCATTCTGCGAAAAAATCACAATGATACTTCATTCTTCTTCGGCTTCAGCTGGCAACCCCTCTTTGAACCATGTATAGAGACCCCCTTCTAAGTGGAAGACGTTCTTATAACCATTGAGGACTAACAGGTATGCAGCTATCAGTGATCTGCAGGAACAGGCAAAAGCATTGATAACCTTACTCTGAAGAAGCTAACATTTATGCTTTATCCAGACGCCTCAACGATTAATGGCCATTTTCCAGCCCGTCATTCTGATTCTCTTTCATCCTAAACTTTAATCACACGGATAGCGATGGATAGGGTAGACAAAGTTACCTAGCTAGTCATCATTTATCTTACTATACAAGTGAATCAAGCTCTAGGTATATCATATACAAGTGAAATATCTGCACTTTGGAATCTGGAAGAGTTGGAAATACCTGGACTGTTGACCTTGAGGAAGATTTTGTGATGGTTTCATTGTACCGCCTGCTGAGCAAGCCACTATTATCTTTGCATCTTTACCAAGTTTGGAATCGACAGCTGGTAAGAATATAAGCAGATGAGTACCAGCTTCTGCTAGCTAGGCTAAATGCACAACACTGGAACATCAAGCAGTGTAAAACCCTGATCGTTTCTACTGAAACATACTCTGTATAAACTCAGGGTTTTCTTCAGTGCCAGCAAAGATGCCAAAAAATGCAAAAGCAGCACGCCTGGCAATGTCCCAGGCCGTCCACTCTTTTATAAGCCTGTATATTTGGACATTGATCGCACCTGGTGCGTGACCCTAGAAAATCCACACAACAGAAGAACAGATGGGGTTCAGTCTTTGTAAGTACTCTTCATCCCTGGATTCTTTTTAACTGAAACGTCTGTCGAATGGGTTGAACTCCAGTAAGAATGTAAGATATGATATATAACAGACTTACCTTCTTGAATTCAGCTTCTGGCCGCACGTCAAGGATCACAAAGTTGTTTTCTTTCTGAAGTCGAAGAGCTTCCTTCACCTCCACACTCCTCACCTTCTTCTGCAGCAGTAACTCTCTCTTCACCTTCCATTCTTCTTCAGCTGGGTCACACAGTCATAGACAAGGTTTCGACTGTAAGATATTGGTCATAGCGACAACTAGTGACAAATGCGGTAGGGGAGCAATCTTATTGAACAGAATCCAGGATAGAGCCACAGTACCTGGCGATTTTGCAGGCTTAGTTGCTGCACATAAGATCTTAATGCCTCCTGGAATAGCCTTGTGAGAATTTGGTAGTCTTCCCTTCAGTGTACCATATGATCTGACATTTGAGAAGGATGGACCATAGGCTCGAGCACCTGTCTTGGAAGAATGAATGAAAGCAGTAGTAGTAGTAGAAGAAGAAGAAGTTGGAGAGCTAATTGAAGGAAGTGCAGCAGCAGCAGCAGCCATACTGGGAGATTCGATGTGGTTAAATGAGAATTGGGTTTGTGATCCTTTCTTTTACCAAATGGCTATGTGAAAGGAGGCAAGTGGAGCCAATGGCGGATGTGGCAGAGTAGGATATTTTCTGTCCCCCAAAAATCTGTACTTGTGGCTCATGTTGGAGAAGACCAGTTGAAGTTCGGATTAGGTATCATTTTCATCCTTTATCATTGATTTGTCTTCTCTTTTAAACCACCTGGCGAGTGGCGACAATATGTGATATTTCCAGTCAAATAGAGACATTCTTTCTGACCCTTGCTGCATTGTATTATAGCATACCTCCATTTTTGTTAGGGCATTGCTATTATCATTTTCATCATTTGATTACTTGGAATTAGATCTTATTTCTTAAGTTTATTAAGATAAACAAGAAAAATGAGTTTGGATTTGCTAGAAATGTAGTCTATAGCATCTCGGTCCAGCAGATTAGCTAATCTGAACGATCTCAAGTGGATTTTATGTATTGTCGATAACCCCCAAATAAAACTAGCTCTAAATATGATTGGGCAAAATGTACCGTAACTATTCAAGTTGATTATGGCGTTGTCCAAAAAATTGCTCAAAATTTGTGATGGTACTTTTTTGGAATCTATGAAAAATGTTTCCTAAAAAATCTGCCTAAATCGGTGTTTAATAGACTTTAATCGTCGGTGAAAATGGCCTTAGGCCAAATCCGAGATGTGTAGCCTTCAAATTCTGAAGAAAATGACCTCTCAAAAAAATCACATGAAATTTGTGATGGTACCCTTTTGGAATCTGCAAAAAATGACCCCGGAAAAAATCCTTCCAAGTCGTTGATTAATAAACTTTCTCATTGGTGGTGAATAGTCTCATTTCGAATCTGTGATCTGTAACCTTCAAAATCTAATGAAAATGACATTTCGAAAAAATACTTTGAAATCTGCGAAAAATGGTCCTCGAAAAATCCTCCCAAATCAGTGTCTAAAAGACTCAAATATCGTTGAAGAATAACATTAGGACGAATTTGTGATTTGCAGCCATCAAAAATCAAGGAAAATGACATTGTTGAAAAATCACCCGAAATATGTGATGGTACCCCTTTAGAATCTGACAAAAATGGCCCCGGAAAAAACCCTTACATATCGGTGCTTAATAGACTTAATCATCGGTGGAGAATAGTCTCAGGCCGAATCCGTGATCTGTAGCCTTAAAAATACAAGGAAAATGGCCTTTAAAAAATTCTTCCAAAAATAACAAAAATGCCCTTAGGAAAAAAATCCGCCCAAATCGGCAACTTATAGAGTTTATCACTTTATCATTGGTAGAGAATAGCCTCACAATAGAGTTCAAAATCCAAGGAAAATGACATTTTAAAAGAATCACACGAAATTTGTGATGATACCCCCTTTGAAATTTGTCAAAAATGGCCTCGGAAAAAATCCGCTCAAAATTTATGCTTAATAGAGTTAATTATCGGTGATGAATAACCTCAACTCGAATTTGTGATCTATAGCCTTCAAAATACAAGAAAAATGATCTTTCGAAAAATTCCCCAAAAATTGCGAAAATGTCATCCGAACACAATCCGCCCAAATCGGCGATTAATAGATTTGATCTATATGTTAATCGCTTGAAGTAGATTATTAGTGCTTTTTAGTATCAAGTTTGAATTGTTATTAATATTAATTTCAGTGATAATCTTATTTAGTAAGTTGAAAGGTACTTATAATATCGTTACATATCGACTAATTAGGCCAATTGAATTACATGCTGATGATCAAATATGAGAATCACAAGAATGTTCCCTCACAGAATTCCTTCATCCACAATTCACCATGTAATGAGATGATGCATTACCCTTCAAATGCAATCTTCCATTCCATGTGACAACAGAATAGGAACACAGCAATTGTACTATATTGCCTTCCACAGCAGTTCTTATGGCTTTACAATTACAACAGAATTTTGCATCAATTGATCAGTAAAAGGAAAGAATTATTGACATTGTTACACATTTCCATTGCAACTATTACACAATACGACGAATGTTACATAACGAATCGAAATAAACTAGCTTTGATCTTGCTGTTATGTTATCCACAGAGCAATGAGTTGAATGATGCTGCAGGAACATGTGAGCTTTCTGCATATACATATCTAGGAAGCAATGATTCATATCAGGCGAGCACGTTTGGCATCTGCAGAAGCAACTTCCAGGTCTCCAATGAAGAACAGTATCCTGTCCAGAATCCCACTGCCAGTGCAGCAGGATTCGGCCGCCCTGCCGCACGATGACGATTCTTCTACTTGGTCGTCTGAAGCAGCAGCCTTTGGCCCTTTTCTGTGTCTGGGAGAACCCAGATAGCGTTGGATTTCGCCTTGATGAACAAGATAATAGTCACCTCCTTCTCTGATTATCTTCAGCCCCCTGCCCCATCCCATCAAAACAAACAGCAGAATTATATGAAATGTTTCTGGAAAGAACAAGAAATCCCAAGTGTGAGTGAGGGAAACTCACAGTCCAACTCGATCGGATCGATCTTGCACAGCATAAACATCTTTCCAGGATTTGGAATCAACAGGGGCATAAAATGTGGCACGATCGGTTCCCCATCTATGCTTGAAGAGGTTGGACCATAGATTCTCGTCAGATCCAATCGCCTTCCATTTCTTGCAAACTTCAACAAATCAAAACTGACCACAACAGTGAGACAGGGGGTAGATGAAAAACAGAGTAAAGGAGAAAGGAAGGTGGTCTTCAAGCTTCAAGATCCCATTTATACATTCATTTATGCCAGAATTCAGGACGAAAGAAGAAGACTTTCTCACGCTAATTACAGAATTGGATCAGAAAATCTAGATACACATATACCCAGTTGAAATTGAGATTCCTAATTGAGGGAAGAGAAAGAGTCGAATGAATATCTCAAATGGCGTAAAGTGGAGAAAAATCAAACACCCAGAATCCAAGATCGAAACTTTCAGAGGATGCAGGAATTGGGAAGAAATAGAATAGCGGGAGGAGGAAGAGACCTTGTTGGGCGGAAGCAAGATTGTGGTGATCCAAGCAGCAGAAGATCTTCAGGCACAGATCAGCCGGTAGCCTTTCCATTGTTGGAGAAAGCAAAGGTTTCACTTTCTGTTTTGGTATGGTAGCTCTGACGTTTCTGTTGGCCGAGGTGGCTACGAGCTAGTGGTTAAAGCTATAAACTTGCTGCGATTGGACGTAAGCCACTTGGCACTTGGATAACACAATGAGTTAAAAAGCCAAAATGGTCACCAAACTATGTCGAATGTCCCCAAATGGTAACCGAACCTCAAGACGACGACTTTGTTAAGCTATTCATTTCCTAACAAAAAGTTCCCACCTGTTCATCAATCCAGGATCCACCTAAAACCCGACTCAGTAATAATTCGTCGCAAAATTTATATCGAATATAGAACCGTCTGTCGTAACTGTCTTCACTACAACGAGAAAGACATACATCGTTAATCAGAAGTTGGTTGTTTGATCAACTAAAGGCGAGCCGAGAGATGGTAATTGGTCAATCAGATGGAGTCATTAGTTTGAGGTGGTGGTGTGAGGGGCTAAAGTAAACTCATACATATGCAGGTAAGGTAAACAAGTTTCTATTTATATCACATTTACTTGGGAGAGGAAAAGTGTGCGTAACGTAACTAATTACCACAGCTATCACTCTACCTTGCAAAACTGGTTCATCTCAGGCCGGTAGAAAGCACAGATGGGATCGAATCGACCAACATTTCTCTCAATCCGACCACTGTGTTCTTCAATATCCCGCACGAACTCAATTCTTCAGGGCCTAATTCCTTTTCTCGGAGAGCACGATGCCGCCCTTCCAAATATCGCCGCAGACTGGCTTCCGCCAAGTTGATTACACTAACAGACGGGTTCGTGTGCATGAACTTCATGACGAGGAACCCTGCCAAGACGTGCTGATCGGCCTTCACGAGTTCCGATATAAAGCTGGGGAACAAAAACCTCGCAAAGAGAAACGATGCCGTGTCCTTCTCTGTCAGCTTGGACAACTGGGATTCCTGACATTGACGAGAGAAGTTCCCGACCAAATAGCAGAGGTAAGAGAAAGTAGTGCCATATGAGTTCTTGGTGAAAATGGCAGCTACGACGATGCCAGAGGATAGCACGAGAGTCAAGAGCTCATGGTCCCCAGCAACTGTGTCCTGGTTCCACCCTTGTGTTTTCAGCTTCTCCTCAACTATGTCCAAACAGTGAAACCACAGAGCTTCATACGGCAGCAGCAGCATGATTTTCAAAGCCACAAAGGGGTCAACTACGAAATCACGCAAGCTCCTGGCCTCAGTTTCATCGATCAATGTTCCTTTGGGTTTCGACAGTGATTGATCCATCAGTGCTAGGACTTTGCTGACCCGGGATAGCTCAACCATCTTTCTGAAGAGCTGCATCCAACATCCATGCAAAGGATGCAGATGCTGATGACCACCACCAACGACCTTTACCTTCTTCTCTTTTGGGATATTAGTATCATCTGTTTCCTGAAAGCTTTCCCACCCTTCATCCCAATCGTCATTGTTCCAGTCGTTTCCTGCTGCTTCAGCAGCGTCTACAGTTGAATCACCTGGTTCGCTTATAGTAGTTGCAAAAAGCCCGTCCCACTCTTCCAGAACAGCACACAGCACATCCAAATGATGATCCGTGGAGGAGAGCTCACACAGCTTTGAAAAGCAAGAGACAGCTGTTTCGGTGTTGGAAAGGTCTTCAGGGGAGATTTCCATGTTGATAGAGATGGCTGCAACGAGCTGGGATGATTTCAAGGCGACCAGAGTGCTTGTAAACCGGTTGGAATTATCTGCTCGGTCAAGCTTCAATCCACTGCTTCCTGTAGAGGCATTATTTGTAGAGAGCAACTCATGCCAGCCTTCCCATGGCAAGATATTAGACTGCAGCTCAGCAGAGAAAGTGCGACTTCCACCTGCAATGAACTGCATAATCTCCAAGGCGTAGACTCGGATGTTGTTTGGCAGCTGCAAATCATCACAGAATCGGGCCAATCTTTCCCAAACCACGCGCCTAACCTGCTGCTGCAGATCCTCCACCTTATTACCTTCCATCTTACTCAGGGAAGAGAGTAGGTTATACAGATCCTTGCTTCCAAGGGTTCCTTCATTAACCAAGTCCCTTAAAATTGGGTCCAGCATGCTTGCGTAGAGCTGAGAAAGATTAGTTTCAACAGTTGAACTGACAGCAGCACTATGTGATGTCATCTCCGAGAACATTTCTGACACAGGTCCATAACTGCAACCAGAAAATACCATCGCTCTGCAAAAGGCCTCAGCCTCGACTATGCAATCACCAATTAAGCCATGATTTACATAGCCTATGATGGTCCCCCAGGCCTGACTTGGCGATACATTATCCTCCGACACAAATCTCACAAATAATTCCACACAGTTTCTTAGGCACACAGGATCGAAGAAGCTCGATTTTTCCACTGAACTCTCACGTGATATGATTTCACTCATTGCTTCAGACAACCTGAACCAGAAGTTTAAGAGGTCGATAAGGCACTCCTGCCACATTGAATTATCAGGAATACACCCAAAAGCACCAGGTAGAAGTAGAATCATTGAGAAGCACCGCTTCATGACATCCATAGCATCTGATGTCAACAAATGGCCAATAAATTGTCCACAATAACCATACGTTCCCTCTAGTTGACCAACGAACTCCTGAAACTTTTCAGAGCTTCCGACATTAAATTCTGTCTTGGCTCTACTTTCCAGCTCTGTGAACAATTTCTGAACATATCGTTTGTATACATCCTGCCACACAATCATGCCTTGTGGCACTGGAGCAGAATGGATACCGACAAGATTCTTCACCATTTCTGCCAAGGCTTCTAAGCTACGTTCATCATCAATATTGGCGAATACTTCATCCCGGAAATACTGCAAATTCAAACCTCCTAATCCAGCAACATTTTTGAAGTCTAGATTCTGTATAAAAGAAACTCTTTGACACTCTTTCCCAATGACCTTGTAACACTCAGCCAACTGGAAGTTGGATAAAGGTGATGGGAATGGTGATGGTCCTTCGGTTTGCCCCAGATGAAAGTAGCAGTCAGATAGAAGGGCATATATGAAGGACAGACGACTCTTGTTATGACCATCAATTGCAGGAAAAACAACTGATGAAACAGTTTTGATGGTTTCACCAGCAGAACGGATAATTTCACCTTTAAATTCTGAAATTTCAATCATGATATCATCATTCGTCCAAGCCTCAGAAACAAGAATACAACTGAGATAATACCCAAGCACCTACAAAAAAAAAAAAAAAAGAATAAAATGATAGCATTTTCAAAAACTGGGGGCCAACAAATGGATTGCTAATTGGATTGGAGGTCAGATACAAGAAGGAACTTTAGTGTGTACCTCACTTTGATTCAACCCATAAGTGTCCGCCAACTTTAATACATCTTTGATAATGTGCTTCCTTACTAGCTTCACTGATTCAATCAGATAAAAAACAGAATGGCGAATGTAGCTCGAGTCACCTGAGAGAAATCGAGCAGTATCAACACCAGGAATGACTTGCTCTAGCACTCTGGAATTTTCAGCAATTCGCTTCTTTTCTTCCAATTTGAGCTTCCATTCCCTCCAGAAAGTGGACTGTACTTTGTCCATCTTGTTTATTTCATCTGAAACATAGAGGAAATCTATCAGGGGAAAAGGACACATGAAACACTCATGTTCCGTTCAATAGCAGCACAACAAAAAATATCCAATATTGCCAAGATGAGAGATTTCTAAAGTCAATCACCAGAACTAAGTGGTGCATGCTTCTCTTTGAACTTTGTCAGAAGTAATTCCCTCCTCTGAGCAGGATCTTTGCACTCAACTCCAAAACTGTGTAATGCACTGTACGTCATCCCAACATTCATGATGCTGTGAATTTCATTGTAATTCTCCCTGAGGCGAAGTTGCTCTTCTATTACTTCGACCCCACTGAAGGCGTCGACAAGATTCAACAAGAAAGAACAACCCATCACGTCTTCCTCTTCTGTGACAGGTGGTTCTATGACCGACTTTGCCACGGAGGCAATTATACTATCATTGGGTGAAAACCCATTTCTTGCCAGCCAGGACAGAACAGTTACTAATGCTTGGGTTCTTATGCTTACAAACTGCTTTCCAGGAGCAAATCCAGAACTCGAGTTCTTAGAGTATTCAGCTTTGCAACTCAATTCAAGCAACCATGGAAGTTGAGAAGAGGCAAAAGAAAATAGTCTTCCATTGTCCTTCAAGAAAGACTCCAATTCTGCTCCCTCCTCGGCAAGGCCGTGTTTAGCAACTGAAAGAAGTGTGTTTGTTGTATTCCTCAAATGGGCTTCTCGATCCCCACTGCTCATATCTTCAGTGGCTTCTGAGAAACCTCTGAGATGATTGACAGTATCTGGAGAACCAAAGAAAGGAAGTCTTCTGTTCAATGAATCAGAGACACCAAAAGAATCAGACGAGTTCAGCAAAGCCTCACATTGCCCTTGCATATCAAGGTCCTTCCATGCATGAAGAAGCTCCATTATAGATTCCTCGTCACAATGACTCAAAGCAAAACCTATCAGCTGCTTTCTGGAGCTTATATCCATATTTTCAAGCGCGGGACCCCTTGCTATTGTAGCACACAAATCCCAAACAGGCCCATGTCCTTTTCTAGATAAAACAAGGCAGAGGTCAAATGCCAATTGTAGATCATCGGCCACAGCAGCTTCTCTAGCGATTGCTTCCTCCACTGCTGATATGTCATATGGAGAGCTTAATCCCAGAAGTTTGGCAACCTCTATAACTTCATCAACATGTATGTATGCTCCATTTTGACCAGCAATAGCCATTTTGATTATCTCCATTGGGTCTTTTATTTGCCTGTATTGCATAGGCAAAAGAGTAACTCCAAGGTATGGCAGTTTAACAGTGAGCGCAAGTATTATGTCAGCCTCTGCTTGGACATTCCTACTGCTAGGTAATAGACTGAGGCAGTCCTTTGCCTCCTTGATCTGAAAAAGGTAACAGCAGAAAAACTGAGTATTCAAGGCTGAATCCGTCAAAAATAATTGAAATGGCAAAGAATATCATTATCTAGCTTGAAGCAGTTTAAATGAATGGAACAATGAACAACCCA